ATAGTATTAATCGCTACAGAGCTACCTATATACGATAAAGAGGTATCGACACTGTTGCTAAGAAGCCGACAGCTAGTGTGTTGCTAGGGGTATTAGTATGTTAGTATATATAGAAGAAGAAGAAGAAGAAGTTAAACTAGGAAGCGTAGGTCTATATTAGCGTATCGCAGGTGAGGTTTGCCTCTACTAATAGGATTGCGCTATTCAGCTATAATAGCAAGGCAACAATAACGGCTATACATTATCGCACTTTCAACGTAACGCAATAGCCGCCGACTACTAGTCGAATGCCTAAGGCTAGAATTGCTACTAGTTCTCGAAATTACCGGAGGCCTCCTTTAGCATTAGGCGCTCTGAATTCATATAGGAACTAAGTCTAAAGGCACGTACTCTAGTCTACCGCTACTACTTCGCTACTAGGCGCGCACTCTAGTCTACCGCTACTCCTTCGCTACTAGGCACGCACTCTAGTCTACGGAGCTATTAGCTATTAAGCTATCCTTGTACGCCTAGCCTAGCTAGCTATCAAGCCATCATCGTACGCCTAGCTAAACCCTTCGTAGCTAGCTATCAAGCTATTATCGTACGCATAGCCTAGCTAGCTATCAAGCTATTATCGTACGCCTAGCCAAACCCTTCGTAGCTAGCTATTAAGCAATTATCGTACGCCTAGCCTAGCTAGCTATTAAACCATTATCGTACGTATAGCCTAGCCAGCTATTAAACTATTATCGTACGTATAGCCTAGCTAGCTATTAAGCTATCATCGTACGCCTAGCCTAGCTAGCTATTAAGCTATTATCGTACGCCTAGCTAAACCCTTCGACTTTACAAGCACCCCCGACGAGGCACGCACTCTAGTCTACCGCTACTACTTCGCCGCTAGGCACGCACTCTAGTCTACGGAGCTATTAGCTATTAAGCCATCATCGTACGCCTAGCTAAACCCTTCGACTTTATAAACACTCCTAACGAAGCACGCACTCTAGTCTACCGCTACTACTTCGCCGCTAACTACCTAGTTAACGGGGCTATCGTTGTCGACGGTAAGCGTACTTAGAAGATGAAGCTAGTACCTAAGAGATAAAGCTAGTAAGGAAGGCCTAAATAGTAGATATAGCAGGTTAGATTACTATAAACGAATACAAAAGCTAGATTTATTTAATCCTTAATCGCTATAACCGCTACTATTACCTATTGCTGTTATAAGAGCCTTTAGGGACTACTAGTTAGATCTACTATATCTAGGTCTAGGTTAGTAAAGCCCTCAGCGTCGACGTATAGCTAGTATATAGTAGCTATAGCATTATCGACAATGCCTGCTTATATAGGTCTACGCTAAGCGCTACTATCGATACGCTCTCTCGTATCGGCGCCGTCGATACTATCTATACTATTAGCAGCTATATCGGGAGCGCTATAGGTTACACTATTCAATAGACGCTAATTAATATTGTTAAGCCATTCGCATACACTAGGTATAAGCGCTGCCCCGATCTACTAGATATTATTAGATATAGGGCGTAGATCTAGCTTCGGCTCCTCGATCGGATCGGTCTATAGAGCGTCGTACTTCTATAGTACTATATCGCCCTCCTAGTACTTCTTAATCGCTCTAGCCTACACTTCCTTAGCGGTATCCTTCTCGGTATAGTACCTAGTGCCCTTTAGTCTAATACTCTCGAACAAATCGCGTACTGCCTATAATGCTTTACGGTTCTGCGAAATTAGTTCTATTGTAGTAGAGACGTTATAGGTAGAGTTACTACGAGCCTGAATGTCGAGCTTGTAATCCTTATTATATAGCTTAAGCATCTTATTAGCAGCAACGCCCTTACTATTGCCGAGATTGACGATAGCCGAATCTAGGATAGCCTCCTATAGGATAGGATTAGACGTATTTAGCATCTACGAAAGGTTTACTATCTCCCGCCTATAGTTCAGTTATCGGGCACTAAAGAAGTTCGGAATCAAGTAGTCGACTATACGGCGCAGGTGTCTAAGGTCTATCTTCCGGATAGCGACATATACGGTTAAGAAGTTCTCGATCTCTTATAGTAGGCGGGCTATTATAGTATACGATAGGTCGTCCATTTCGGCATCCTCGTTAAGTCTAATCTAGGCGCTCTGTATAAAGAGCTTCTAGTAAATAGCCTCTACAATATCGACATACTGCCTCGGTGTAAGATAGTCTTTAATTAGAGCCTTTACTGCCTAAATCCGATTTATGCCTACGAACTAAGAGGCATCGAACCGAAAGCCGAGCTACTCGTCGGCTTCCTAGATGAATTCTGCACTAATATATATACGAAATGCTACGAACACTACCTATCGAGCGATATAGTACTCTAGCTTGTCGTTATTAAAGCGGCGGATAGTATAGTACTCGGCGATAGCCTTAAGTGTATATGCTAAGTGCTTGCCTGCCCTATTAGTGTTATAGTGGGTCCGTAGAGCAGTATAGCAGGCATTTATCTTAATATAGAAGAAGGCCGGGACACCGACGATGAAGTCCTTTCTATTATATATACGAGTGCTTTCGACACTACCGAGCTTAATACTGCGGATACGATCGACCGTTATCTAGTCGCCGATAACGATAATAAGCTAGTCCTAGAACTCCTCGTTATCTAGATTAAGCTTTAAGAACTTCTAGAAGATATCGTTATAGACCTAGTACGTGTCTTCGATCGAGGCCTTATTATAATTAGATACTAGCAGCGAGATTACTAAGGTCTTCCTACCCTGCTTATTCTTAATCTTAATCGTACGCTATAGAAAGCGCTTAGTCGGACTGCCGCCGCGAATACGATCGTCTATATCGGGACCCTTAAAGTCGTGCTCCTCGAACAGATGCTGCAGCTTATCGCTAGCAAGGAATCCTATAGCCTAGTCGATATAGTATAGGGAGGTCGCCTTCTTATACCTATCGGCGCAGATCTTGCGGAGGATAATCCGAGGGTTTATCTTCTTCTTAAGCTTTAGTATATGCTTCTTTAGACCCTTCTAGACGGCTTGATGCCTAGCGATATACGAGGTTGTTATATTGCGCTGCTTAGTATTGCGACCGGTTGTCTAGATAGCTTTACGGTGCTCCTAGATATAGAAGTTGTCGTATACGATTACATATCTACCCTTAATAAACATCTTAACTGCCCGTTCTCGGTTAGTACGAGCAGTCTTCCTCGCTAGCCGCTATAGTATACGATAGGCAGGACAAAGACCTATCGCACTAAGGACATCGACGACTCGTCGCTTAATACTACTAGTATATAGGAACAGCCTAAAGGACTTACTAAACTAGGATGCCTTCTTTAGCGAAATCGAGCGAGCAACTACCTACGTAATCGTAGCGATGCGCTTCTTCTAGCGGCTATATTTGTCTTAGATACTAGGTTGATCTTCCTTAGCGATATCTTTAGCGGTATAGCGCTTATTAGGAAGTAAACCCTATAGGACACTATACTAAGTTAGCGCTATGTCTTTAATAACTTTGTCTATCTTACTTAGCTTCTCTTGTCTATCGATAGTAGAGTCTAGATCGTACTAGTTGAAGAATTTCTTACTAACGAGCCTCTTTAACTTAGAACGGAGCCTACGAGTACTTACGAGACCCTCGAATAAGAAGACATCGATAATCTTATCGATGCGACGGCGCTATGTCTTTGTTCCTAGATCTCCTACCTACATTAAGAGCAGCTTTAGCGTAGTAAGGTACTCGTAGTTCAGTAGGTCTATAATATTAGTATACTTCTGCGGTAGACTCTTTAGGCTCTTACGCTTCTTCTTCTTCTTAGCTACTAAACTAGTAGGAAACTAGCGCTTCCGTACGGTACTAGGGCGAGCAGCACCGACAATCTAAGGCTCGATATCATTATTATCTAAGAAGTCTCCTTTATCTTCTAGTCGAAAGAACTAGCTACCTTTAGCACTAGCGGCTTCAGCCTCGACCTTATTATCGCTTATCTTATTATCCTAATCCTTAGTCTCGTAATTATCTTTATCTGTTTCCTCCTCTTTATCCTCGACAATAGGTAGCGCGACGTTAGCGCGTAGACCTATACGGCGCTCTTAGCAGGTTAGAATAGGCGCTAACGGAAGACCTTGTTCTACTGCTATGTCTGCAAGCTAGTCTAATAGCAGCGCTAAGAGCTCGCTTGTCTCTACGAGGCCGTGTTCTACTAGGCTATGTTCTACTGCTATATCTACAAGCTAGTCTAATAGTAGCGCTAAGCCGAGCTCGCTCGTATCGAATGCATTATATTGCTATAGTAGCACAGGTAAGCTAGAAGGCTCTATTAGTAGCGGCTTATCGTCTATATCGGCTATAATAGTGTCGCTATCGTCCGACATTGTCGCTAGATTAAGTGCTAGATTGAGTGCTAGATTGAGTGCTAGATTAAGTGCTAGATTGTTGCGACTAGATTAATAGCGACGGCGTCGAAGGAACAGGTTGTAATAGAAGCGACTAGTGCCCGCGAGCGACGCGTTGTAAGCAAATACATAAAGACGCACGGACTAGAAACATACATAAAGTCGACAAAGCTAGGCCTTAGCATATAGCAAGAAGTAACCTCCGCTCTTTAGATATAACACAATACTACGGTATCGTATAGATATATGCTAAACGGGGATCATTATAGAATTGGCACCGCTAGGACCTCCGGGTATTTCTATATTATATAGGCTATATCTTAAAATAGGTGTTTTTAGTAAGACTAAGTCTATTACTAAAGCCGGCTTTTAGCTAGGCAGTACCGTCGGCTTATAAGCCATAACACAACAACCTAACGTCGCATTAATATAATTTTTAGATAGAATGATATCCGATTGCCTACTCTACGCCCGTATTACAAAATATTAATGTATATCGCGTTATATACAAAGTCGCAAAATAGGGATCTTGAATCTGACCCGATCGCTAGTTTTGCTGTCAGACCCTTGCTGCGCAAGGGGTTTATAAATAAACCGGTGGCTCGTGCGCTCTTAGCAAGGGTCTGATGGGAGATAGACGGTGGTATCAAGTTGACAGCGCCAAGAGATGGAACGACGTGAAGACGTGAAGTCGAATTCCTTGGCGTACTGCGTGGACCCACCAGGATCGCATCCTTCCTGCTGCGCTGCGCGACTTTCACCAGCCAGAAGGGAAATAAAAGACTTTTGAGCAGAGCTGCGATTTCTGCTCCAAATTACAGAGCCAGCAGGAGTTATTAAGGGCATTGCCTTTCTTCTCGCCAAGCAGCTCTCGATTTGACTGTCCAATCCGATTGTATGGATCTGCCTCCCAGCCTTGCGGATATCCATATTCTGGACAACCGCCTTTGCTCTACAACAGTCGAAGTAAGACTGCTACACCGAAGCCAGCTCTCTCAGGTCTTCGACCGCGATCAACTACTGCTAAGGGAATGTGTATGAACTCTGTCAATAGCCATCCATACCCAGCACGAGCGCCAGAAGCCGGAAATGTACCTCTGACAGTATACAGTCATCAACACAGCTGTTTGAGCAAGAATTGACTACACTGTGCCTCATCTCTCCAGCACCTCTTGTGTCCTCCGAGCAATAAAATAGCACATGCCGCAGAGTTCACACGAAGGGGAAGTGCTGAAATACGATGCTGAGGGCTTGCGTGCCGCTGTATACTGCTTGTTTGGCATCGCCAGCTAGGCGTATATCCCGAGCTCCATGGGCAGGTGGCGAACACACCAATTTCCTCCGACTCCGGTCACTCCGCATTGCCTCGGGCCCCTCCAATAATATTAGTAAGCAGTTGCAGGGCGATAAAGCAGAAGAGTCTCCTTCCAATTGGCCTCGCAGAAGCATTGCCAGCCCTCGAAGAACCATGGCGACTATGCGTGCAGTAGGTAAGCAGAGCACCTTCCCTTGGTGGGAGTGACTGCGACAATTCATCTCAAGTCTCATGGCAGCACTTGACAAGACTTCACTACCAGGCTAACAACGCGATTTACAGATGTCAAAGGCGGCAAAGGCCCAGCGTCAGCACTGTTCATCAATGATGCTATCGAAAAGCCGATCGCCAAGCCTGAAGAGGTGGTCGTCAAGGTGAAGGCATTCGGCCTAAATCGAGCAGACACTTTGCAGGTTCGTCGGCAAGATCATCATTGAGTTCCACGTGCTGAAAAATGTGTCTCGCCAGCGACAAGGCATGTACCCCGTACCGCCTGGAGTGACAAAGATCATGGGACTCGAATTCGCAGGTACTGTGGATGAAGTCGGCAATGAGCCTTCTGATTCTGGCGGCGAGCACTACAGGAAAGGCGATGAAGTCTTTGGCCTCACTTATGGAGGAGGATATGCTGAGTACGTTGCCGTGCGCAAGAATATGCTTCTAAGAAAGCCAAAGGAGCTGAGCTGGGAGGAGTGTGCCGCAGTGCCAGAAGTACCTCTCCCTTTTTTCCACTTGATATTGGTGTGCTGACTCTGGTCACCAGGTGTGGATGACGGCGTTGCAAGCAATTCATTTGGTAGGTGAATGGTCACCGGAAAAGGGCAAGAGCATTCTCTGGCACGCTGGAGCGTCTTCCGTCAGCATTGCTGGCATACAGCTTTCTCGCAACCTCTCGCCGGCCCCCAAAGTGTTTGCGACCACTCGTCAAGACACCAAATGTGACTTTGTGGTCAACAAAGTGGGCGCAACTGCAGCAGTCAATTCCACCAAGTCATATCCAAAAGCAGATGGGTCGCCAGGAGGCACTTGGGCAGATGAGGTCAAGAGAGCCAATGAGGGCCAAGGGGTCGATCTGGTCATTGATTACGTGGGTGCTCCATACTTCGCAGATAATCTCGCTGTCTTGGCTAGGGATGGGCGGGTCGTACAGCTTGGCGTGATGGGCGGCACGGTGTTGCCAGAGAAGACGGACATCTCAGCGTTCCTCATGAAGAGGGCGAGCTTCGTCGGCTCAACATTGAGAAGTAGAGACCCGGACTATCAAGGGAAGTTGAGAGATCTCTTTGCTGAGCAGGTGTTGCCGAAATTGATCTCCGGAGAGTACGCGCCGTGGATTGAGAAGGCAATGAGTTGGAAGGAGATCGAGCAGGCACACAGATTGCTCGAGGAGAACAAAACTACTGGCAAGGTGGTGTGTGTTGTAGACTAGGATACTAGACAGGCAAGCATAGATGCCGGGCTTTTCTGGCCAGAATGCAGCCAATACTCTGGAAAGGCCATTTCTCAGTGATGTCAAGCGCAGCGAAAGAACTACTTGGTGACTTCACACGGTGTGTGAGTGCTAAAAATATGCTCTCTCGTGCGGACAATTCCTCAAATGTCCATTATTATTGTAGCCTTTGAGGTATTGTCCGTCTCTCGTGGCTATGCAGCGGCTAATGATCCCATCAGGGCGTATGCATATTTGAAAGAAATTTGAAGGGAGACTTACGATTACGAGATTTACGAGTATACGCGTGTTAGTATGCCAAGCCTTCCTGGTCCATGTGCACGAATCGGTCCATATTTGTCTCACCTGCAGACAACAGCCGGCTCCTCAGTAAAATCACGCACGGCTTCTACGTCACACTGCGAACAAAGACGCCCACGACGCCCTCGAGCTCACCTCACCTTCGAGCAGTTGCCGTGACAGCAGGCATACAGCAGAAGAAGGTCGTCTCGTGGATACCCGCTGCAGGATTGCCGGTGCAGGTGCAGGTGCAGGACGGATATCGGTGTTTTGCGTGGTTACTATTCTATGCGTTTTACCGTAGAATGCCAAGCATAGCACCTTCGTAGCACGGAACCTTATAGTTTACTAGGTAGAATGCTCCTCTTTGCTCTTACAGACCTTAAATCGTATCCTTATACCGCTTAATAGCTATTATTATTAACCTGCTACCTAAGTTAGCGTATATAGTCGCTTTCTACGCTACTAGCGACCTCGTATAGCTATATTTTAAGATAGCGCCTCTAAGAAGCTTATAGTTATAAAAACCGTTCGATAAGGACTTACTACTAAGTTACTAGACTATAAGATAAGTACTAAATAGCGCGAGTTACTAGTATATAAGAAGGGTATATTAGTAGATAGATAGGGTAGTAGTAGGTATAGGTAGTATTCGATAAGGAGCTAGGAGAAGAGGGAGGAAGGTAGGCAAGTTAGCCTATTGCTAAGCGCTAAGCCCTGCCTAAGGTATCGAGACCCTAGCTTTACTCGAGCCCGGTTATATACTAATTACGTATAACCTCTTTAGCCCTAATATACGCTTCCCTTCTAAAGGCCGCGCCCTCGTAGCCGGTCTTTATTCTAGTCTTAACCTCTATTGCTACTAACTTAGCAGGTCTAATAAGCCGCTTAGTCCGCGCTAAATTAAACGCACAACTACCGATTATATAACTATATTAAACCTTACCTCTAATATAGTACAATGTCTAACTCTAACTGCGCTATCCCTATATATAATAAACTATAAAGTGATATATATCTATAAGAATTGAGGGCCTTCGACTAATTATAATACGAGCGCGTCTTCCCTACTATAATAGGTAGACGTATAAGGTATTATAGCCCTGCCTCTGCTCTAAGTAATGTCGTACCGAGTTCTTTGCGTCTACTCTTAAAAGACCTAGCAATATCCGCTTCCGAGGGTTTGTCCGTTCCGAGGGTTGTTCTTATTGTTACGAGGGCTATTATTTACTGTCGTAGTTTTACTAGCCCTAATTAGTTAGGTTTGGCAGCCTTTAAGTGTTAACTAATTATATCTTTTTAAAAAACTTAGTTCTTCTAGTTTCTATAGGTAAAGGCTATTGTAAGTGTAGTAGTAGAGGTTCGCCTCGCTTAAAGGGTTAGATAGATCGAGGAGTAACCTATTGTCCGCAAGATCGACCCTAGCTAGCTTAGCTCTATAGTTTTGCCCTTAGTTAGTTAGTCTATTAAGCTACTTAATCTTTTAGGCGGCTTAAAGTTTTAATTAAAGTTTTAATTAAAGGTGCCTTAGGCTCGTAGTATAGGTAAGGTTGTGTCCGTAGGCGCAGTAATAATAGCAAGTAATGTTAATAATAGTAGCGCTAGTCGTCTTAGCGCTAACTTTACCTTGCTTTCGATTTCCTTCTTCGACTAATAATAACTCGGCAATACCGTTACTAATATAGCGGTGTCCTTCCTTTCTTAAACAGTAACACACTCCGCAACACCGTTACTAATATAGCCGCGCTAGCTATCTTCTAATACACCGTTATTCGTACGCGCGCGCGCGTATTCTCGTCGATTGCCTAGGCCTCGAGGCCTCGGTAGAATAAAGGAACAAGAGGTAGAGTCTTTAAAAGAGTAGTAACTAATTAACGCGTCGTAGCGCGCTTGTTAACACTCGGTACGCGTTTACTATAGTAGTGTAGTCTTATTGTCTCTTGTTGCTAACAATTGCTTATAGCTAATTAGTTAGCTAATAGCACCCCGGGGGTAGTATTAATCCTAGGCCTTAATAGTAACATTATAAGCTTTTAGCCTTCTTCTTGTTCTTTACGCTAGTCCAATACTTATCTAACAACTCGGTTATATCCTTAAAGGAACCTTTAGCTTCCTATAAGTCCTATTTAGGTAAATAGCCTTACTATCTTAATAGGTACTCCTTCTTGCCCTACCTAGTCCGATGCTTTAGGATACGTTCTATAGACTACAGCTCTTCGCTATTAGCTAGTATGTCCTCGGATTTAGCAGGTGCTTTATCCCTTTCGCGTAGGTAGTACGGCTTAAGGAGGGACACATAGAAGGTGTTATAGATAGTGTAATAAGGTAGAAGCTATAACTAATAGGCCTAGGTGCCCCTAGGTTCTCGGATACGGAAAGGGCTAATGTACCTTAGTGCGAGTTTAGGCCTTGTTTTGCTATTAGGCGAGGGGTGTTTGCGGATACGGAGGTTCTTTGTACTAAGCATAACTAGGTCGCCTTGCTTAAAGGTCATTAGAAGGTAGTGTTTGTTATAGTAGGCCTTCTAATAGGCCTAGGCCTTTGCTAGTTTGTTAGCTATCTTAGCGTGAATTTCTCGTATCTTTTAAACCCTCTTAATAGCCGCTAGTGTCTTAGGTTAACCCGCTTCCCTTTCCTTACGCTCGGCCTCGAGCGATAGGGGGTCTTGTAGCATAGTAGCGTTCTAGCCTATTATAGCGAAATAAGGTAAAACCTTAGTAGATAAGTAGACACTATTGTTATATACGAATTCGGCTAGTTATAGGAGGTTAACCTAGTCGTTAGGGTTCTCGTTAATGTAGCTGCGTAGGTACTACTATAGCGTAGCATTTTGCCTCTCGGTCTAGCTATCTGTTTATAGATAGAACGCTATAGATAGGCGATGCTTAAGTCTTAGCTATAGGCATATCTTACTCTAATAGTAAGATATAAATGTCGAGCCTCTATCGGAGACTATCCCTTTAGGGGTTCCCTAATAGCTATAGAAGATATTATTCTATAGTAACTTAGCTAAGTTAATAGCTGTCTAATCCTTCCTAGCAGGGATATAGCGAGCGCCCTTAGTAAATCGGTCTACGACGACTAGGATAGCGTTAAAGATGTCTTTGCTTCCTCTTCGCTTAGTAAGGGGGAGACCTATAATAAAGTCTATTGTAAGCTCTACAAAAGGCTTCTTTAGAATAGGGAGTAAAGACAACTCGATAAATAGTAAGTGCTTTAGTACTTTAACTCGCTAGCATACTATATAGGTCTATATATACTCCTTTATATGCCGCTTACTATTTAGCTAGTAGTATATACGCGATAGTAACTCGTGCGACCTCTCTGTGCTATAGTAACTAGCGAGCTTACTGTTATAGTGCCTCTTTAAAAGCTCTTGTCTAATCGATTATTTAGCGGGGACATAGTATCTGCCCTTAAACTTTAAGTAACCTTTGTCGTCGATCGACTAACTATTACTCTTACTAGATCGAGTCGCCCGTCTACTTACAAGCCTATTAATACGCTCGATAGTAAAGGCGTCCCTCTACTAAGTACGCAACAGCTTATCTATAAACGATTAACTATCCCTATTTGCAAGGTTATTTAATAGCACCCTCGCTATTAAACGAGGTACGTATTATATACATCTAATAGCACTAGCAGCCGGAACTACTGCAACCTCTTCTATAGTGCTATCGCTATATAGACTATTACTATAGATAGCAATGTCCTTAATCGAGTTATTATAGCTCGAGCGATCTACGTCCTTTCTTTTAACGTATACTAGAAGAACGACAACTCCGCTATAGTATTTGTTGCTGCCGCGGGGTCCGGAAGTCCGCTTATCCTACGTTTGCTTATTAATAATACGGGCTATAGCAATCTTATACTATAGGGTTAGAAACAATAAATTAATAGATTGCTAAGTCCCGCTGTCGTAATTAGGTCGCCTCGATAGGCTATTAGTAGGGTTGCTTACGCCTAGCCGATATAACATATTAAAATTAAACCTAGCGAGGTAGACGGCCTATCTAGCCTATCGACCTATAACCCTAGTAACCTTCGTAATTCTACGGAGGTTGTTATAGTCCGTATAGACCTAAATAGTGTGCTGTGCACTATCGAGATAGTAGCGCTAGTACTTAAAGGCCTCTACGATTGCTAAGAGCTCTTGCTTATAGGTCTTATATCGACGTTCTATATCGATTATCTTTCGTAAAAAGAAGGCAATCGGGTACTAGTAATAGTTATTATCTAATTGCTGTAATATAATAGCCGATACAGCGAACTGTAAAGCGTTAGTCTTAATTCGGATCTGCTTGCTTAGCACGAAATAGTACAATAAGGGGACATTAGTAAAGCGTTGCTTTAGGCCGTTAAAAGCGGCTTATGCTCTATTAGTCTATTTGAACTCTCTAGTTAGGTTGGCCTTAGTTTTAGTAAGCTTAGTTAGGGGCATTATATGCCGTAAATAGCCCTTAATAAACCGGCGGTAGAAATTAGCGAAGCCGAGGAACGATTGAAGCTCCTTAATAGACGTAGGAATAGGCCATTTAGTAATTGTTTTGATCCGATTAGGATTAGCCTTAACACTATTAGTTAATACGATAAAACTAAGGAAGGCTACCTCCTTAGTAGCAAAGGTGCATTTAGAAGGCTTGTAATACAGTCTATAGGCTCGTAAGCGATCGAGCACCTTACAGACTATAGCCTAGTACTCCGCAATGTTAGGTAAGTATATATAAACTAGGATATTATCTAGGTAAACTATATAGAGATAGTCTAATAGGCCCGAAAGGGCCTAATTAATATAGGACTGAAATGTTATAGGGGCGTTAGCTAAGCCGAATAGCATAACTAAGTACTCGAAATAGCTATAGCGAGTACGGAAGGCTATTTTCTATTCGTTACCCTTACGAATGCGGATACGATAGTACGCATCCTTAATGTCTAGTATAGTATAGAAGTAGGCCCTAGAAAGGCGATCGAGGGTCTTATTAATAAGGGGGAGTAGGTAGCGGTCTTTAATAGTAATAGCATTAAGCCTACGATAGTCGATATATAGGCGTAGGCTACTATCCTTCTTTAGTACGAACAGGATAGGTGCACTAGTAGGGCTGTTACTATACCGAATTCGACTATTAGCTAGGTTTTCTTCTAGGTACTTACGCAATATAGCAAGCTCTCGTTTACTAAGGTTATAGAGGGGGCTAAAAGGAACCTCCTTGCCCTCTATAATATTAATCTTATAATCTGTCTCTTTAAATATAGGCAATATCGATGCTAAGTAGTATTTGAATATATTAATATAGGTTTCTCGAATAGGTACTAGTATACGAGAGAGCTAATTAGGGTCTATACTATTAGGGGGTATAGGTTTATCGTTATCTCTACCGAGAAGATTAGCTATCGGATTAGCTAAGGCGGAGGCCGGTATTAGGTTGCTAATAAACAGGACCCTAATATCGTTAGGGCACTCGCTAACATTAATGTATTTAATGTCCTCTTTCCGAGCGATTCTAAATCGCTACTTCTAAATGCCTAAGTCTATAGCTATAGCGTAGTACTTAAGAACAGGGTTGCTAATAATAATAGTAGCTCCCCTATATAGGTTGTCTATATCTACTACGTAGGCAGTAAAGTCTAGTAGGCGTTCATTTCCGAGGTCGTCCTTTAGAGCTATAGGAATATAGTAGGCCCTATAGGTTAAGTGCCGAGCGTTATTAAACTAAGCAAGGGTTGGCAGGTTAGTCTTCGGCAGTTGTCGAAGGTCTAATTGCTTAGCTAGGTAATAGCTAATAAGGGTACTAACTGAATTTCCTAGATCTAGTATAACCTTAGTTTAATAGGTAGTGCCCTTCGTATCCTATATAAGGTAGGAGCGTATTATAGCTAGCACAATGTCGATAGTCTTACGCCGTACGAGGTTAATAGTTAGTGCGGCGCTTACTCTTTTTTCGACTAATTAAAAGAGCCGACTAGGGTAGCATTAGCGGCTAAAAGGTGTTTCTTATACTTAGCGGAAGCACGGTTAATTCGGGCCTAGTCCTTAGGTTTGTCGCATTAGCCTAGTAGATAGCTAGTGCTATTACAATTAAAGCACTTCAATCCGGTTAGTAGACTGCCGTAGCTATTATTATTGTTAGTAGAGCGGTTAGCATTATAGGGATACGAGCCCCTTCTACGGCCCCTATCGCGGCCTCCTCTATATAGCCGCTAGCTACGGCCTCTCTTACGATCGTTACTGTTCCTATTGTTAGTATTGTTGTCTTAGTAGGAACCTTAGTTTCCCCCGCGGCTACGGTTGCTACGGTTAGTACTAGCTAGTCGGATCCTCGATTCTAGTCGTTGTTAGAGCTAAACAGCCCGTTCGGCTGTTTCTACTTCGACTATAAATTAAATACGTATAAGATTAGTCTGTTTAAATATACGGCGGCGGTCTAACTTAAGGACTAATTCCTATCTTAATTTAGGGCGTATTTCGGAGATCTAGATAGAATTAGTTTTAGTCGGGAGGTCGTCTTCGAGGGTCTTTAAATAGGCCTTAAATAAGCGAGCTATCTAATTAGTCTTTTACTTAGTCCGAAGGTACTAGTCCTAAGCGTATTGTTGCCTTAGTATAGGGTTTCTAAGAGTGTCTAGCATAATAGTCTTATAGGTTTTCTACTAAATAGCAGTCTGATTATTAAGGGAATCGAAATAGTCGTCCTAGGTGCGCTTTAGGTTACTATTAATGTACTATATAGCGTAAACAACTAAGGAATAGTCGTCTAGAAGAGCCCTTAGTGCATTTCGCTAGTTAAGCTTATAATCGCGTATATAATTATTATATTGCTTGCGACTAGAGCTATTAAACACGGTATAGTCCTTAAGTTTAGCATCCTTCTTCTAGACTAGGACTAATAGTAAGGAAGGCCCTGCTGTCGGCTTAGTATTAGTTGTTAGGGCCTCCTAAAGGCGGCGAATTTCGAGGAGGTTGTCCTTTAGCTGTTGTTCTTAACGTAGGGTAGTAAGCCTGTTTTAGGTAGCTTCTTAGAGTCTCCCTACTAGTTAGGGGCTAAAGGCTAGCTAGCTATATCGTCGATTAATAATATTATTAAGAATGTCGTCGATAGGCAATTCTAGGTCGTTACTTAGAATTATAGGTTCTTTTTTAATAGGCTCTCTAGTAGGCTCTTTAGTAGGAGGCACTTTAGTAGGCACTTTAGTAGGGACTGTGCTACTAGCGTTGTTATTGCTAGCGCTGCTAGCGGTAGCACGGTTGTTATTGCTTCGTAATAAGCCGGCTATTATAATAGGGGGTAATACTAATAATGTATTATTAGCCCCTAAGATACGGATATAGCGGAATTAGTAGATATTAGTCTAGTACGATTAACTTAGTATAATAGGCCGTATAGAAGGCCTTGCTCGATAATTGGTACGGTTGTTTCGATAGGATAGTACGTATAGGTCCTATTCTTTAGGCGTAATATAGTTAGATTAGTCTTGTTCGTAGCTATACCGCTAAAAGCTTGAAATAAGGACTATCTAGCTGCTGCTCTTAAAGGGTAGATCGAATACTATATAAGAAGGGTATATTAGCAGGTAGATAGGGTAGTAGTAGGTATAGGTAGTATTCGATAAGGAGCTAGGAGGAGAGGGAGGAAGGCAGGCAAGTTAGCCTATTGCTAAGCGCTAAGCCCTGCCTAAGGCATCGAGACCCTAGCTTTACTCGAGCCCGGTTACATACTAATTACGTGTAACCTCTTTAGCCCTAATATAGTAAAAGGAAAAGAAGAGAAATTAAGCGTAAAATCGATAGTAGTAGCTATATTAAAGAAGTTTAGTAAAACGCGCGTATTCGAGGCGAAAGTATAGAAGGAGTTAACTAAATAGGTTAATAGCGTCTTAATTACTATAGATAATTAAGAGATAGTCGATTTAAAGATATTATCTATAGAAAATAAGTTAGCGCCTACTATATACCTAGTAGATAGTATAGTAATAAAGGAAGAAGATATCGAGATAGCTTATTATAATTCTTATAACGCCTTTTAGGATAGGTAGACCTAGCGCCTACTTGCTAGTAACTAAGAAGTCGCTATAAAGAATTTCTAAATTTCGAGCGTATCGGCTAGTCTACGAAATATATATACAAAGCGCTATATTAGGTAAGTATAAGGGCGTAGAAGAAGGGACTCTTTATTATTAATTAGTTTATAGTCTCGTCTACTAAGGGCTTTACTAAAAGCAACTAGTTTAGGTAAAGTTATAGCGATAGTAAGTATATCTAAGTTAGGGTTAAAGAGTTAAGATTAACTTACGCTATGCCTATTACTAGTATAATATCGTTAATTGTTTTATCTTCTACTTTAAATAACAACTCCGCCTTCTTTATAATTTTAAGCAGTATCTTTATACTATTACTATTATCCTTTTCTAGTAGTTTTAGGGGCGGCGCCTTCTTTATACGTACTATTACGTTCTCCGCAATATATATACAATTAAAACAATACCTTAACGGTCGCTATACTATTAAAAATGCGACGACACGGTCTATAAAGAGTTAGGTTCGAAATGCGGCGTACGGCTCTGCGAGAGTCTTGGCATTCTACGGTAAAACGCAAAGAATAGTAAGCCGATCAATCCCCACTGCACTCGGCACTCCACGAATCGTGCGAGATCGTCCACACATTGGGCGAGCGGCGCGGCTTGGCTGGCACTGCGGCAAAAGGGGACCACATCCTCGCATTGGTCGCTGGCGAGTGGTGAGTCTACATTCCCGCTTCTTTGCACAGCCTCACGGTCGCACCTCCCCTCCCCTCCCAAGCACTGCGCTACGCTGACGACGACTCTAGCGGACACGAGATAGGAGAGCAGAGACATCTTCACGCGTGTAGAGTCTGCATACCACCATCCACCACCTCCTCCACGACAACGACATTCGTTTTCTAGCTCTCTCCGCGGCCACGACGCGCGAAACAATCGAAAGCGTCATCCGGCCACCAGTGCGGCGGCGACAAGCGCTGGCCCAACGACCACCAAACTCTCGCCCGCCAGCCATCCGTTCCAGGAAGGCGAACCTCCTGCCTTTGCCGTTCGTTCTTCGATCCCTTACCACCAACAACCCCGACTTTCGCTTTGTGTCTGCACCAGCGGCGGACTGTGCGCTCGACTCCTCCTAAAAACACCACCGTCGCCGCTCGTCAGCGCGCTGACGACGCCCACCTTCGCTCCGCGCCTCCGGGCCAGCCGGCGCGCATACCAATACCAGTCGACTGCATTCATCTCGGACACGCCCTCAGAGCAACCGCAGCCGCAATCATGACGCGCTCAGTAACATCATTAATCTCGACCCTCCTCCTGGCGCTTGCGCCGCTCACATGCGCCGAGCGCATGCTGACGTCCACTTCGCTCAACCCCTGTCAGGCGAACAACAACTTTTCAGCGACCCTCTTCGACGTCGTATTCACGCCTAAGAATCGCTCGTTGGCATTCGATGTGGTCGGTGTCAGCAGTATCACCGGAAACGTTACTATCGAGCTGGTGGTGCTCGCATACGGTCTTTCGGTGTACAAGACTACCATCAACCCATGCGACTCCGACGATTTCCAGGGACTGTGTCCCATGAACGAGGGCCAGATCAACCTGAACAGTAATGCGGATATCCCAGCAGACAAGCTGAAACAGGTACCAGGTAAGCGCTTGAGCACATGCATAGCTGAAGTTCGACGAGGCTGACTCTAATTATGCATCAGGCATTGCGTACACTGTACCAGATCTTGATGCCAAGGTGCAGGTCTACTTCAACTCCACTAACACTGGCACATCGGCGGCTTGCGTCGAGGCAGAGTTGTCGAATGGAAAGACGGTAGACCAGAAGGGAGTGGCATGGGCACTGGCCGTGCTCTGCGGTCTGGCGCTTGTCTCATCAGCCATCACATCTGGACTCGGACACTCGAACACCGCTGCCCATGTTGCTGCCAACGCAATGGCACTTTTCGGATACTTCCAGTCGCAGGCCTGCATTGGCATGACTGCCGTGACCCTACCCCCGATCGTCGCTGCCTGGACCCAGAACATGATGTGGAGTATGGGTATCATTCGTGTCGGTTTCCTGCAGACTCTCGCCACATGGTACCAACGCGCAACTGGCGGAACTCCAACTACGATATTGTCGAATTTGAGCTCTGCTTCCGTGCGAGTTCAGAAGCGTAGTCTGGATGACTATGCTCGCCTTGCCAGCCGCGCCGCCGATCAGCTTCACAAGCTCATCCTCAAGCGATCCAATGCTGGCTCTCAAGGTACCGACACTTCGACTACGGTCACTGTACGAGGTATCAATCGTGTTGGATTTACTGCTGGCATTGAGCCAACTAATATCTTCATGACCGGCTACGTCTTTTTCCTGATCTTCGTCATCTTCGTGGTGCTGGGCGTATGCATCTTCAAGGGAGTTTGCGAACTACTGGTCAAGGGTGGCCGCATGAAGGGCGAGAAGTTCCAGGACTTCCGCAATGGCTGGACTACCGTGCTCAAGGGTATCCTCTTCCGAATCGTGCTCATCGGCTATCCACAGATGGCTGTGCTCTGCTTCTGGGAGCTTACTGTTCGCGATTCCGGAGCCATCGTCGTCTTGGCCGTATTCACAATCTTCTCTATGTTGGCCATCCTCATCTGGGCATCAAGCAAGGTCATCAGACTGGCCCGCCGAAGCATTGCGATGCACAAGAACCCAGCATACATCCTCTACTCAGACCCGGTCTCTCTCAACAAATGGGGTTTCCTGTACGTCCAATTCAAGGCCACCGCATACTATTTCATCCTGCCATGGATGGTATACATCCTCATCAAGGGTCTCTTCATCGGCACCGCGCAAAGCAGCGGCACTGTTCAGGCAGTTGCTCTCGTTATTATCGAAGCCTGCATGCTGATCGCTGTCTGTGTGCTCCGCCCATACATGGACAAGAAGACCAACGCGTTCAACATTGCCATCTGCGTGATCAACTTTTTGAGCGCCATCTTCTTGCTCGTTTTCTCCGACATTTTCGGTCAACCAGTGAGTTGTAGCTGCTTCTATAAAACTTGGCTATCAAGACTAATTATTTTACAGGGTATCGTCACTGGTGTCATGGGCGTCATCTTCTTTATCTACAATGCCGCCTTCTCCACCATCCTACTCATCATCGTCCTCGTCGCATCGATTATTGCCATCACTGCCAAGAACCCGGACACACGCTATCAGCCAATGCGTGATGACCGTGGCAGCTTCATCAAGTCGCAGACCCAGTTGAACACCGAGCTAGATGCTCTTGGAGCTACTGCTCGCGGGGAGTCGAAGCATGGCTTCAACGCGAACAAGAGCGGAGCACGCATCGAGGATGATGATGACAGCTGGTCGGGCGGTAGCAGCACCGAGCGCCAGAAGGAGGCTCAAGCCGGTGGCTACGGGTACAACCCACCACGTAGTCCGATGAGTGCGCACACCCCAGCATATCCGGCTAGCGATAATGGGAGTGGGAGGCATCTCCCACCCTACGACCGAAGCGCAACCGCCAGCCCATACAGCGTTGGAGGCGGACAAAATCGCTTTCGTCAGCCAGGCGCAAGTCCGAGTCCTTGGCAACGAGGTGCCGGCTATGAATAAATTTCGCCCTCCATTCTTCAGTGATCCTTCATCGGAGACTATGAGTATGGCGATCCTAATGAGTACAGATCATCATCCCACTCCAGGCGCGAGACTCGAGCAAGCACCAGTGTTGCGACCAACGCTGCCTCGTGCAAAGTCTTCAACTGATACCGTGGGCAAGGTTCTCGACTTGTACTACAACAGTCGACAACCTCCGCCCGCACCTTCGACTACAAGGCATCCACTGCTCTAGGCTAGCATCGGTGGGGAGATGGAGAACAGTGCGTATAATGGCCTTTTTCACGAATTTCTGAATTTGTAAATAACCCCTGCTGCTATCGGGTCTGTTTTGTTCTTTTATGCATTGGGCTGGTCAAAGTGGCATGCATATTGTCTCTCACGAAGTAAGTCGCTCCCTAGTGGGTGCCTACCAATTGGAGTTGGCTGGAACTACAATAAATATTTGATTGCTTCGGCAGGAACGCAGGGAGAAGAGCCTGCGATCGATATCATCGAGGATGAAACGGGATGTGCGGCGTTTTTGATCGTGTCTCCGATGGAAAAGTGAGAGGATGCCATAGGACAAAGTCACTCGATTCCAATGGAAATGTGGATAATTCACATACTTTGCTGCTTCGCGATTTCTCTTTCACCGGGGCGGCGTGCATCAATGATGGGCACCTGCGGATGTCGTTCAACTTGAAACACCCCTGGCATGGAAGCAACATTGCAGGCGAGGTGATCTATGCATTCAATCACTATCTGAATCCCTCTCATCATCTGCTTTATCACTCCCATGCGTATACGCGACTCCTCTCCCCTTTCAACTATGGGCTTTTGGCTTTGGCGCCGTGCTATTGTATGTTTGTGATGTCGCTTTTCCGAACTTCTTGTCCAAGAAGGAATCGTCGAACGGGTTCGCTGGATCTGCTGTCTTGGCTTTCTTTGGCGGCGATGGCTTTCTGGGCTGAGGGCTATCACTATCGCTCTCACTCTCACTTTCGTCGCTCGAGGTGTCTGATGAGGAGTCGCTCTCGCTCTCGCCCTCACTGCTCGAGGATGACGAGGATTCAGATGGAGATGAAACTTCGGTGCGAGCTTTCCTCTTTCTTTTCCTATTTTCCGCTTCGGCGAGGGCTGTGCCTTTCGTATTTGTCTCTACGACTCGTGTGGCTCGAGGGATGTTGGCTGGTGTTGTTGAGTTGGATGTTGACGCTGTAGGTATAACTGGAGTTGGCTCGGGTTCTGCGAATAGTACGTTGTCGAGAGCTTCGCTCAAGATGGCTTCAGCACGTTTGCCACGCTCGTACTCCTGTGCCATCTCCTTGAGCTTCTCGTCGCCGTATTGCGTCCTCCCTGCGCCGGATGCTTCGTAGCGCTCGAATGAGCTTTTCAAGGCTTCGTAGTATGCACGTCGTCGTGCTGCTGCCGATCCCAGGGACATTGCATCTGCACCTTCGTTCTCGCTGACCCAGATTGCTTTCAGTACGTCTTCGGCTTGCTCGGCTATGCGCTGTCGTGCTTGACCCTTCAGACCTTTGATGTATTGGACGACTGCTGGAGTATGCTCTGATGGAATTCGGGAGATGTTGAATAGATTTCGGAAGAGATCGTTTTGCTTATTCTTGTTGAATTTCCAGTTGTCTTTGTCGCGTTGATATTGGAGAAGATACTCCACATAGTCCGGAACAGATTTCGTGACCGTCTCTGCGCCTTCTGCTGCAGTCTTCGTAGACTTTTTCGCCTTCTTTTGCTTCTTCTTCTTCTTCCTCTTGTCGTCTTTCTTCGGCTGCTCTGATGGCGAAGGCGGCTGCGCTTCTGGCTGTTCTGATGCGCTATTTTCGGTGGCGCTCTTGTCGCCCGCCCATGCTTTGAAGAAGTTGGAAGCAGAGTAGCCGTCTTGTGCTTTTGTATCTGGAGTGAAGGAAACCGACTTGCGCAAAGACGCTGGCTGAGGTGGAGCAGTCTCGGATGACCTACAAGCACATGTTAGCGACATATGGCGCATGTGACATGATGAGCAAGTTTGGGCGTGATCCCGAAAAGTCGTGCTCGTGGCGCCGTGACATGCCATGATGTCGCGGACAATGCCTATCGCAAAGAAATTGCCACTCACTCGTCATCCCCAAACACTATCCGTTTCGGCGTCTGATTTGGCGCTTTGAAGACTCCTGTCGGCGCTGGCAGGCTAGAAGCTTCTGAGCTTCCTGAGTGAGCATTCGTCTGCGTCTGCTGGCGAATATGTGCTCGATTCCTATGGAATGCTTCATTTGGATCTAGACGTTGGTGAGCGGGCGGCGCCGGCTTTTGTCGTTTGGCAGGTGTCTCGGGTGCTTCATCAGAAAATGATCTCTTGTTGAGCATCTTCGCCGGCTCCGGCCTGACACTGGAAACATCGTTGGTCTTGGTTCTTGTTGTATCCTGAGATTCTTGATCTGGAGAGTCTTTTGCATATTTCAACTTCAAGCCAATTCGTTTCCAAGCCGGCACTCTGGGTGCAGAGTCTGTAGCTGCCATTCTGCAGAACATTTAGCGATACACAATTGATGCGGCTCAGCACATTTTCATTTCTCGTGGACCATCGAAGTGAGGCATCACCAGCATGCTAGATTTTTTGATAGGAACCAAGCTAGCGCTAAGGCTGCAAGGCACCAAAAAGGTCCGAGCTCGAGCTTCTCCAGGAAGTCGCGACGCAACACGCTGCTGGCTGGAAACACTCCATCATTCAACTCCCCATCGCCATCGCCTCGCCTCGCCCAGACCTTCGACCTTCTGCAAACAAACATTACGATTGCCGACAAGCAATAGGAAATCCGAATACCCATCAACGACTCAGCTAGACCACCGCCACCATGTCTGGCAAGTGTCCTCCTGACGACGGCATGCAAGATACGAGGCGCAGCTGCTAATACTGAATGCTACAGGAAGCGCGGGCTTCGACAGACACATCACCATCTTCTCAGACCAGGGACGTCTCTACCAAGTCGGTACGTAACAGAATGTCGTCCAAATACAGCATATGATGGGAACAGGCGCTAATTGGAGCGCTATTCAGAGTATGCGTTCAAGGCTATCACCGCAGCAAACATCACATCCGTCGGCGTAAGAGGCAAAGACTGCGCAGTCGTCATATCGCAGAAGAAGGTGCCGGTACGTGAAAGAACATACCTGCCTGGATTGGAGCGAATGCTGATTATGGAGTGGCTGAGCAGGACAAGCTCATTGACCCATCCTCAGTCTCATACGTCCACAGACTCTCTCCTTCCGTAGGCTGCGTTATGACTGGCTCAATAGCAGATGCAAGAGCTTCGGTGAATCGCGCGAGAGGCGAGGCTGCAGAGTTTCGATACAAGTCTGGCTACGAGATGCCCTGCGATGTTCTTGCCAAGCGTATAGCCAATATCTCGCAAGTCTATACTCAGCGGGTAAGTGGAATCGTGAAGCGCAATATACAAATGGAGACTGACGACAGGATTGATCAGGCTTACATGAGACCCCTGGGTGTCGCAACCACACTCATCTCCGTGGACTCAGAGTACGGTCCTCAGCTGTACAAGTGCGATCCAGCAGGCTACTATGTTGGATACAAGGCGACTGCATCTGGACCAAAGGCGCAAGAGGCGTTGAACTTTCTCGAGAAGAAGCTGAAGAATAAGGATCACGCAGAAGGCAGCTGGGATGAGGTCGTTGAGCTCGCCATCACTACCCTAAGCACAGTGCTCAGCGTTGACTTCAAGAAGGGTGAATTGGAGATTGGCACCGTTGGCGCTCCTCGACAGGACGGCAAGGAGGGCACTGACCCTAACTTCCGTCCTCTGACGGAAGATGAGATTGATGAGCGGCTGCAAGCCATTGCAGAGAAGGACTAATTCCGGCTGCGGCGCATTCAGCACATCTCTCGACATGAATGGCGATCACGGTATTGCAAAAATATCGTTTGCGCTTCAGTCAAGACGTATGCGAAATGGCTTTGAACGACACAGAGCACATGCACTGATGCAAGATCGGCATGTCCGTGAGCTAGCGTCAAGCCGCAGCGACGTCTGATTCGTCGACTGACGCGAGAATTCAGCTGCGAGGCCTCTGCCGGCTTCGATCCATCTGACAAAGGTTCTGTTATGCAGAACCGAATGCACTTGAGGCTTGTACTATACCAAACCATTCTCACGTGGCCATTGGACCGAAATAAAACCCACGATATCCTCAGTCCACTGGGCACGCACCCGCCTGACCTTAATGCAGCAGCTTAGAGGAACCGAGCATTGCCGCACTCTTTCCAGCTCCTCTCTCTCGAGATTGACCTCATCCATAACGAGCTGTACAGCATGTCTTAGCGATGGTCAGATATCTGCACGATCGTGGGAGTCCAGCGACCAGTAACACGCGGCCCAGAGAGCGGCACCTTATTTCATGACTGCACTTCTGCCGTGAAGCTCAGCCCTATTCAGCACCTAACTCCTCGTGATGGTTCTACTGAGGCTGCCTGAGCTCCATACCTGTCCTCCGTGCCTTGTGCCTATCAGCCACGAGCTTCTAACCTCAACAGGGTGTGACGTATGGCGCTTTCCCCCCAAGTATGGCCTGTCAAGCTGGTGCCCAGCTCACTTTACCTTTCTAGCAGACATACACAACTATGCACGCACGAGCCTTGTGCGCAGGAACTGGGACCTGCATCGTACCTCTATCAGTTTCTCGCCTATGAAAGCTGGTCCTCGTTGGCAGGAGCTTTCCCATCACTGCTGTAGCGCAGCAAGCCACATCCCACGAGTCACAAGCATCGTGGCAGACATGATATCCCTGGGCACTTCGATATGGTATGCACTTTCTTCATAAAGAATGCCATCGCACGCCTCTCGCTTTCCAAATGCATCAGGCAATAAATCATCTCCAGACTTCAGCCACTGCCCAATCCTCCCATCATTGGCGTTCAATCGGACATTTCTTCTTCTACCTATTTTCATACATGATATCAAATGGCAGACGGTCGTAAGCGACAGCCTACTGCATGAACTTCGGAGCCGCCTACTAACGATGTCTACATAGTCAATACTGCTCGCGCAATGCGTGTCGCAGAGATCATGCAAGATTTCAAGAATATTCAAATGCGCATTGGTGCAATCAGAGCGAATCCATCGGCAGAAGAATACAATGAAGATGGCTTCGTGATCTTAAGACAATGCGTATCAGCAGCTCAACAGTTGCTAGCTCGTCCTTTCCAGAGTGAGGGGTCAAACAACGGCGATGAAGAACAGTCCAAGGCACAACTCAAGAGGTATGCATTACTCTATTCGATCAATATCATATACTAATAATCTCCAGAATCATTCTCGATGCTTCAGTCCGACGATTCATGGCACAGAAGATCTATCTTCGAGCGGCGGCAGCACTTCGATGGATCAGCAGCCGCAACGCAATCCTCCAAGGAGCTCCACCAAGTCCTGGACATGCTCCAGCGCTTCAGCAAATACGGTACACATTGCGCACAGTAAGTTCGGTCGCATTGCATGGTTGCTTTCTGCACTTTCGCTTGCAAGCTGGAACTCAAGAAGACGTTTAGAGTTTGATGGAGCCTCGGCGACCCTTGCTGACCACGGACGTTGTGTTATACAGGAACTAGCTTCCATCACAGACGCGCGGGTTGAAGCAGGTCTGCGAGAAGCCGATGCCAATGCTGGAAAGTACACCCAAGAGGATCCATCGTTAGCAGTAATCCAGAGGATGGCGGGCAGAGATCGATGATGGAAGTATGCAAAGCATGGCTTCACCTTTGTGATGCGAAGGCGCGTCACCATCTCAAAAACAACCTCCTTCAATTGTGGGAGCCAGCAGCTGGAATCTGTTTGGAACTTACTCCGCGAACCCAACCTAAGTCTTACGATTGCATCTGTGATGCGCAACCACCTTTCGGCATATTATCCTGAGTGCACTTCAAGAGCTGCAGGCAGCCTACAGCTAGTACTTAACCTGGAGCAATGGGTGGATATCTGACATTACGCGGAACGACATTACGATCACGGCAGAGCCGTGACGAAACGATCATTACATCCGTCGAGTGACCCAACCGGCAGCTTGCTGCGAACGGCAAGCCAACGACGAATCAGCTGCTGCCGTCCGAGAGAGACGTCCTGGTATCGTATCCTTGGGATGCGAGATCACAGCAAATGGCACAAGAGCGAGCTTCACTTTCCATCCAGGCATTCGACTAGTACCTACACTCCATAATTCTAATCATGTTGCAAACATTTCTAGACCCTCGCATCCCAATCCAGTACTCCGTAGCCATCAGAATCATGACGCATACAATCCACACCATCAACCAAACCAAACGAAACCCATCATACCGCCTCACCTCCTCGAAATCCCACCCTGGAACCCACTCGAACCACTAGTTTTCCTCTTCGGAATATCAGCCTTATGCACATCCCTCATATGATCAATCATCTTATCCTTCCGCGTAAACCCATACTTTCCTTTCCGATGACATCCTACAGTTTGACAGTCGACCAAATTCAAAGATTCTCGGAGATGGGTGACTTGGACGTGTCGTTCGAGGTCGGCTTTTCGGGCGCTGCCGTGTTCGCAGTTGGGGTAGAGGCAGTAGTAGGTTGGTGAGGAGGAAGATGAAGAACTTGTGGGTGAGGTGCTGCTGTATGTTGAGGATGTGCTGATGGTTGGGGATCGACCGTAGGAGGATAAACGAGGTGTTGATGAGTAGGTGTAGGTGTCTGTTGTGGTTGTTGGGTAGAGGGATCTTGTGACATGATTTGTTGGTTGAGTGTCGGGGTAGTACTGTTGACTGGATGTTTGGTAGGGTTGGTAGTATTGCGATGACATCTTCGTTTGTCGACGGAGATTCAGGATTTGGCGCGAAGAGCGCGGATTCCTTGATGCAAGTCTAGAGATCAATCGCTTTGGATGGACGGTGCAGGACGTGCCTATGGGACGATCTGGTCTTTGAGCATTGATGGAAAAGCTACCACGTTGACTTGATTGTCTGTATATTGATAGTAGTAGTGTTGTGTCGTCTTGACTCTTGCATCGTTGATACAATAGCACACTTCCAAACATATATCTACAAGCTCCTTGACCGGAGGCCGCAGCACACATGGCGAAGGCTACCCGTTTCAAGCCTCACGACAAGACGGTAATCATCACGGTGGTCATCGGAGTTGTGAGAAGGCACAGACGACTGAGCAATGCCTCACAGTAGCTTGAGAAGGCAAGTCTCAAGCCGCCTCCTAATATCTTCTTCGGGTTGTCTGATTGCGAAGCGTGGCTTTAGAGATTGTGAATCAATTGGTTGAGAGACTACAGCTTGCAAAGCAAGCAATGGGAGTCCGGGAAACGACGAGGCGGAGACCACCCACCGCGGCAGTGTACTGAGCAGTGGCAGGCTCTGGAATTGCTCAGAAGAGAACTCCCGAGCCATGATCGTTCATGACAAGAAGGCAGTTTCTGGCCTAAGGAACGTGTTGGCAGGGTTCGGGAGCCGGGGATGAGTGATCATGCTCCGATCCTGTTCGCAATAAACCAAGATATCTGAGCGGTTGAAGTAGGCTGAGCAGAAATTCAATTGGTTCTGGCGTGGGTTGCTGCATCAATCCCGAGGTATCCACGATATCGCGATTGCGTCTGAGTCATTGCAAGGTGTTCGAGGGAGGCTGAGTTGTATTGCGAACCATTTAGTTGTACGACATCCGCAGCCGAGTTGCAGGCCTGAGGCACGCCTGCATCAAGAAGGAACGATACCATTGCATGCTCTGCGATAGTGGCAGAATCTCATGACAGCTTCGTTTCGGCAGAGCTCTGCCTTCTTCTGCCTCATTTAAAACCCGAGTTGTGGAGGTGTGAAGTGCTCATGTAGCTCTACTGCTCCAGCTCCAGACGAGGCTTACGGAGAGGCCGCCTGTCCACTTGGCTTGGCGCAAGTCTTGACTCTTGAGGCGCAGCGCTAACATGGCAACTGTGCCGCCGTGTGCCTTCGCGAGCACCGTTTGGCGACACGTGATGGATACGATCCTTACCGACGTACCTCGAACCATCCATCAGTATGATTGAGATCCGATGACGATTGTTGTGACGTGATTATTGTCAACCATGGTGGCCAATGCTTCGAGAAGGGAACCCCTTATACCGCGTGCCGCCCGGGGTTTGATTAGCGGGCAGAGAACCCTTGTGCGAGGATAAGGCAGTCACAGCCTCTTTGGGTCGTGGATGGCGGGCATCGTGCTGTCAAATAGTGGTGGCACAGCCCAGAAGAAGGCAAGCATGCATGCATATGTGCACCTCACATCAATCCGACGACGATCGATGGAAGGGTCGCACATGAGTAGTCAGTACAGCTCACCGGTCCGCAGACTTTGTGATATGAGATGGGAAGTAAGAGAACGAAACTCATCAGCACATGGCCCATGAAGAGGGCTCTCGGAGCGGGTGACTGGATTTCCCCATGCTCGAAGGAGCAGAGCATGAAGCTTGGTAGCTACTATTACACCAACCAAGACCTGACCGTGACCAGAAGAAACGTAAAAGACTGTCTTCTCTTAGAGGACCTCGTCTTCGAGGAACTTATACGCGAACTTGAAGTCAGCCTTGCGACGGTTCATCCTGCAACTCCGAGTTAGCTTCAGACCAATAAAGCAGACTGTTGTGAGAATCTTACCAAGTGGACTCGTAATCGAAGAAACGATACGTGCCCTGCTCGAATTCTTCCGTGATATTCTTCGGCTCCTCGTGCCGCTGAAACCAAGTCTGGTATTGCTTGTGAAACCGCCACGACTGGCTCTTGAGTGCTTTTGCTGCAAGATATTGCTGATACGTTCCTTGTCGGTAGTAGAAGGCGTAGAAGAGACTGTCGGTGTCTATCCGACTGTAGAGCCTCGGGTCATCGAAAATACCCAAGGGCTCTTGCGGGTATGTTGGCTGATTCACACTGTACGGCTGGCTGGGCTTGTAGTGATTGGGCTTCTCAGCATCCGCAGGCGCTGGACAAGTGAGTCGTGATGTGTTGATCATGCTCAAGTCAAAAGGCTGATCCGAGTTACCTCGCTGCTTGATTTCCTCGAACGAGTCGAGTAAGTCTGTCAGCGATGACGGCAAGTGGTATATGCACTCTTCCTCCTCATCTTCTTCTGCAGATGCGCCATTCGATAAGGCAATGCCTGCTATACCAGAGTCCGGACTAGGGGGCTGAGGTACTTTGTTTGCTGCAGGTGGTAACACAGGATGTGCAGAAATGACATGTGCCGATGGCCTGACTGGTATCGACTTCGAGACTTGTGCGGGCGCGGTTGCAACTTCTGGCGATGGTGCTTTAGGTTCTTCCTTTGGTGCAGGCGTAGGCTGCTTCGGTGCTTCGGGCGCTTTTGAATGGTGCGGATCTGAAGGCTGTGCAGGAGCTGCCGTTACGGGCTGTGCTGTCGATGCTGCTGGTGATGCCGTTTCGCTCGTGCTCTTCGAAGCTCCAGGTGGCGGTGGTAAAGGTGCGATACCAACTCCATTCTTATCGCTCGCAGCGGCAGCTGCCGCTGCGGAAGCATATTTCAGTGTCTGGCCTGTAGGTATTGTCGGTAGAGGTGCAGGCTTCATGATTTCCACAGGCTTGCCATTGACATTACTCGTTCCCGCATGTAGAGATGAAAGGGCCGGTAGAGGTGTCTTGAGTTGCACACTCGGTCGCCTCGCGTTTCCTGACGCATCTGACATGGATTTGGATTTCGAGGGTTTGATCGGTACAGAATCTGTGTCCGGGGGTTCGTCTTGTATGCTCTGGGTATCCTGACTTGACACCTTGTCATCGTTGTTGTTGAGACCGTACATCTCCTCGTCTTCCTCCAGATTCAGGTCATCATATATGCTGTCGTCCTCCATGAAGTCCACTTCCTGGTTCTGCTCCACGTAGTACTTGATGCCATCTTCAATCTCCTTCACCTGGTCAACGTCTACGCTCCCATTTTCTAGCGACCGTAGTAGAACTTCCAGCTTGCCCGTATGCCACTTGTGTCGCTCCACAGTCCGCTCCAGTTCCGCTACTCGGTCGGCTTTCCCTGAATCCTTCTTTGACTTCTTGACAGTTGCTTGTAACGATTCCGCCTCTGCCTCATGTGCTTCTATTTGCCGCCCCAGTTCATCTACCATATCTGATAAAAATTGGCAGACTTCCATCTTCTCTTTCTCCTTCGGATCCAGCTTCGCAGCGGCAGATAGACCCTCTTTGCTGAACGCCTTCGTCTTCATCTCCTTCTCCACGGCCTTGAACTTCTCCATTTGCTATGCACCCAAGTCAGCATCGCAGGTCAGTAGTTCAGAGATGGCACACGATGGCTATACCGTCTCAATGAGCTTTCTGTGGTCCAGCAGCGGTTTCTTGTCCTTGATGTCATTTTGACTTGCCCAACCCTTGATCTTGTCTCGCGATCGCTGCAGCTTCTTGATTTCCTTCTTTAACGAGTCTTCGAGCTTTTCCTTCTGCGAAGGATTTGTCGACTGAGTGAGCTTCTCGTAGATGCCCTGGAAAGTCTCAACTCCTTCCGCGACCTTCTTGAACTCTCTGCTCGACGTTAGTACTGCCGGGTGAGTATCCAGACACGCCCGGGGGGAAAGTCCTACTTGTCGATCTCCTGTTGGAGTTTCCTCGCCGCCATTGGGTCGGTGTTGGGCGCGTGCGGCGCGGTCGTGTGCGTGCTGGGTTAGCCTGATATCGCCGGTACTGCAGCGTCGAGGCTGGATCGGGAGGCCGTCCGATGGGGAATCGATGTCGAGATGGCCGCCGCAGTGCGAATCTGTGGTGCGATAGTGTGCGGCGGGTGCAAATGCATATGAAATAGCGATGTGTGGCCTCCGGACGTGAGCCTTGCTCTCCCTGTCTGTTTGCTTCAGGATGCTCGTTGTCCAGCAAGGCAAGGCGGCGTGCGAGGTGCAGCGGTCGCGCTAACGCTCGCTTAAACGCACCTTCCAGGACTTTTGCCACTTTGACACATGTCCTCGCCCCTGCGTGCTCTGGCTCTCTCTCTGCTTTCGCCGCTCGATGAAAACATCGTCAAAATTCCACGCCAGCTGCGACACTAAATTGGACGGTTCATTCACGGCACCGCGCACAGCGTCCCCTCCGCGTCACGTTCACACAGAGCAGAGCACCGTCTTACGTCCATCTGGTAAAACCATGGCACGATAGCCAGAATGCTGCATGTGCCCAGCCGTCGCCAACAAACATCCACCTGAGCGCCTCACAATTCCTGCTGCGGATCGACCCGTCGCGCAACACAGCGTTTCACCGGGTCACGCAATTTGTGGCCTTACTTGCTGTTGCTAGAACTACACCGCGTTCGGACTGTATGCAAACGCGTGCTGCTGAATCGGTGACCAGCGACAGCGCTTCAGCCTCCGACGCAGCTCCCACGCTCGCCATTGGGCAGAGCCGCGGATCATGAAGAGTGAGCTCAGCCCAAATCGCTCTCCTGTCTATCATGTGTCTAATTCTTGTCTCAAGCTGTCATTCAACGTGTCAAGTCAGCTTCCGTGACCGTAGATGGACAGCGAGTCTCCGAGATTGGAAGGGGAATTCTGATTCTGGCTGGCATCGGCAAAGATGATACCCCCAAGGAGGCTGAATCAATGGCCGCCAAGATCCTGAAAGTCAAATTGTGGGACGACGATGCGGGTGGCAAATGGAAGAAAAACGTTCAAGAAATAGATGGCGAAGTCCTTTGTGGTAGGATGCACATCGTGTATCGTTTCCATCAAGGTGGCGACCCCATTCTGACTTCATGTCGCAGTCTCCCAATTCACTCTGTACGCAACGACAAAGAAAGGCAACAAACCAGATTTCCACAAGTCTGCTCCGGCAGCAAAAGCCAAGGAGCTGTACGATACTTTCTTTGGCCAGGTTCGAAAGCTGTATCGGGAAGATCGTGTCAAGGACGGCGTATTCCAGGCTATGATGGACGTAGGACTCGTCAACGACGGACCGGTGAGTGAAGAGATGCCGACCACACCACGATTTGGTGTGGACTTTACTAGCTTGGACGAAGCGGTATAGCACAAGCCCAGCGTGCTTCCGTCTTGTTCCTGAAGTCGGGCTTACGAATGAACAGGTGACGATCGAGATCGAGACGAACCCACCAGAGATGAAGAATGCCTCCGGTCTCCAAGATCCACAAGAGGGCGAGGCCTTTCAAGGCAAGATGAAGCGAACATTCGAGTATCCTGCTTCACTATTGGAGTGAGCTGTACCACGATAGCAATACAGCGGCAACCCACATCGGAGTGAAAGCGCTAAATTCCCTAATCCTGGACTTCATGATTCGTAACGAATCAGAAATCTCAGATTATACAGGCCGCTGGTATCCACTTTCCTCCGATGTGCGTTGACGCTGTACTACTTTGATCCAGACAATCACCAAGCCAGCCTGCTTGATGCTCATGAGGCTGATGTCGATCTTGGCTTGTGCTCATGCACAGCGTCCGAGCGCGTTTGTGGGTCTACAGCCTGCTCCACTTCGAGAAATGGTCAGCACACATCGGAAGGCTCAAGTGCAACAAATGGATTTTGGGAGCACAGTCAAAATCATCATCATCATCATCAAAGTCATTAGGTTTGCTACAGTGATTGCTATCACATTCGAATCTGGTTCGCAGCGCCCGCAAATGGTCTCTGAAACCGCCAATAAATGCCAGCCCAGATCAGCCTTCTCCATCATCACTCATCACTCATTGCCCAGCAACGAAGACACCACGGTATCGGATGTTGCCTTCATTGAGTTTGTCCATGGCCTCATTGATGGCCTTCTCGTTCATGGGGAAGCGCTCGATAATCGGCTCGATCTTGTGCCTGGGATCAATTGAATCAGCAAATGAAGGACTATTGTCATGCGCACAAATACTTACAGCGCGGCAAATTCAAGCATGCGGTTTTGGATGTAGCGCGAAGCGACAACCGAGCCTTGGATTCTGAGACCATCAAGCAGAAGCGACATGTATGGGATCTCGAAGTTGCCCTCGTCGACTGAAAGTGGGTGGATGGTGGCACCAGGAGCGAAGGCGCCCATGAGCTTGTTCCAATCTGGCTGTGCAGAGGTTGTGACCAGTAAACGGTTGAGAGGTCTTGATGGCTTGATTTCTTTGACATCTTTGGTTGCAATGAACTCAGAGGCACCAAGCTTGAGAGCTTCATCCTTTTTGCGATCCGATCCGGAAAGTACGACAACGTTGCAGCCCATCTTGGCAGCGAACTGGATTGCGAGATGACCAAGACCACCGACACCCATAACACCAACGGTCTCAGTCGGCTGCACGTTATATGCGTGGAGGGCATTGAAGACGGTGGCACCACCACACATTAGAGGAGCCGCAACCTCGTCGCTCATGCTATCCGGAATTTTAAAGAGAAAGGCCTCTCGCCAGACGGCATGACTGGCGAAAGAGCCTTGATCAAGGTCTGCGGAGGCGTACATGGCACGTTCCTTGCAGTACGTCTCATTGCCTCTCAAACAGTCCTGGCAGTGCCCACAGCTGTCGTGTTCATAGCCCCATCCGACGCGATCACCCTTCTTCAAATGTGTGACACCAGGACCCGTCTCTTCCACAACTCCCACGCCTTCGTGGCCGAGAGCCATGTCTGTCGTTCGGTAGTGGAGATCCGTTCCGCAGAGGCCACTGGCAGTCACCTTGAGAAGGACTTGATCGCCGGTGAGCTCGCCCTTTTTGGTCTCAGACTTGATGACCTTGCCATCTTTGGCGCCCTTGAAGACTGTGAAGGAAACCATTGTGATTTTGAATAGACCTTGACCGGGAATTGATTGAAGACTGTTGTGAGGGAAAGTGTGGATTGAAGATGATGGAATGCGCGCAAGTAAGAGACAGGGCAAGGGCTATGTAACAGAGCTTTTCAATCTATGTAGAGCTCTTCAATATTAGAAATGCAAATGCTCGCAACCCACAGTGACGTTACCCAGGCACAGACCCCAGACCAAAAAGCATGAGCATATCATGGCCCAAGGTCGAGAGCGAACCAGATAGAAGCATCTCTCACACAGACGCGTGCTAACTAACTAACCAAGCAAGTACTCCACCGAGCAGCAGCTTCACCAACGAGAGGTCAGCATAAAAAAATTGTTCGAGAATCGGCCAAGTCTCGGCGCTCATCTAGTTCTATGACGTTGGGGTCGTTCGCCCCCAGCTATCAACCAGCCACAATCAATTTCATCATGCACAATTAACTAATGTTCGTTCTTTTCGTACGAGCGAGGGAGGGGAGATGATCGTTAATCAATAGAGCTCGCAAGTCGCCAAGTTTTTCTTTCGGACTACATGTACTGTGGAGTAGCTTACAGAATATGCATGGTATGGATGAGAGTCTGATAAGCACATACAGGCATGCACGAGCTTGGGAAGCAATTTATCTGCGTGTTACACAACAGGCTGATCAAGTATTACACGAGACTTACATGATCACGCATGCGATGAAGGAGCAAGGAAAGAATGAGTGTCAAAAGGGGCTCTTTCGTGATTGAATAGGGCTCGAAATGCGAGTAACGAGGCTGACCTCTCCAACAAGAGCGCCTGCTGACTTTTCGAATTTTGCCAGCTATCTGATCGCAATCAGTTGGGGAAATATCTACAATAATGAATCTACCTTGACGAAGGCGTTCGACCTGATATATTTTGCTTCCCTCCCAGCCTGGCTATGGCTGATTCGACACTGCTTTTTGGTATGCCTCCCAGACCTTGCCCACACGTTTCCTCATAACTCCTTTTCGCTATGCATTCATGCCAAAAAAAGCGCTAACCATTCTTGTTCGCCCTGGGGGTTTCCAACGGATCGGGCTGTTCTAATTCTTGAGACTTCTTCTCATCACTGTTCGGTTTCGCTGGCTTGTCGGCGTCTTTCGAATTTGAGGCGCTCTTCTCTCCTTCAGACTCTTTGGCTACCTTCTTCTTCTGCTTGCCTTTTAAGCGCTTCTCTGAGACGTATTTAATGCTTCGGACGAGACCGGAAGTGAAGACACCCTTGATCGTTTGCATCGTCGCAGGCCATTGCACCGTGGATCGAATACACTTGGACATGACCTCAGGCAAATCTTCCTGCTCTGCAATCCTTCTTTCGAAATCGCCACCTTCCCGGCGCTTGAAGCCCGTGGGATCCTCGTCTTCGGTCTGCTTCAAAATGTCGTCGAATGCACTTCCAGGAATGCCGAACTTGCTCTTGTATTGGTAGTAGAGCTTCTTGCGGAATTCCTTTGGTAGCCGTCTCACCATGTTACCTCGCTTCGTAGCGTCGAGATCTTGTTGCATCGACAGACCATCTTCGCCGCCAAGAACATCTGTAGTCGTGGTCAGCGTACCGGTATGTCGGATAGCATCTTCCTTCTCCCATCCGTATTGTTTAGGTGTGCGAGGATCGGTGAAAGCGACGTTTGGCAGATTCTCAATGAGCGGAACATAAAGTTGGCGGAAGCCAGGAAGCTGAGCTCCAACAATATTGGATACTTTGTTTGGCGCTTCGGAGGCAATCAAGGAGTGCATTCGGGGATCGCCCAGGTATGACAAGCCTGCGATGCGCTCATACAGTTGGCGCTCGTTGAACTGCTCCGGAAGCATTAGCAGTGCCGTTCGGAGAGCTGATATGAGGTTGACCTGATTTGCGAGCCGTATTCTCGGGTCGTCTCGAAGAATTTTGACTGGCTTCTGAAGTCGACCTGCGAGGTATAGAGTGTCCCATTCACTCAGATCTCGCGCCAGAGTGTCCAGATTGACGACACCATACTTGATCATAATGCCGTTGACCGTGATGTAGGGATTGTAGTACATTCCGGCTCCCCATTTGTCTTGCATCCAGGAGACCACTGCAGAGCTGTTGGGGATATATCGCAAGGCAGAGTAGTGCTTTGGGTGCTGCATCAAGTTCAAGCTGTGCCAGTGCTGAGTGTGACTGACGCCGAAAATGAAATCGATTATCTTTGCTCCACCTTTCTGCCAGTCCTCGACAGCTTTGGGTGGATTTGGGTGCGGGCTCAGAGATTCAGAACCCGTACTCGATCCTGACGACTTCTGTCCAAACACACCAGAACCGTAGGCAAAAGCGTAGCGGATGGGTGCTTTGAACTGCCATAATACCTGTCTTAAGGATTCTTTGAAATCCTCGTTGATCTTGATGTGCTGGTTATAGCCGAAAAAGCGGTGCGGCAGGTCTGAGAATTTATTGATGTTGTAGTCAGCATTTTCTTCCCAGTCGGGAGGCAGACTTTGCATCGGACTGTCTTTGGTTATGCTCTCCGTGCCTGTCTGCGCGCTCCATCCTGCTTTCTTCTCCTTTAATGCTGACTTCTCTTCCCGTTTTGAGCTGCCCGACGAAGAGGCAGAACTGGAGCTTTTGGTTGACGAAGCTGACGATTGCGAAGATGTAGAAGGCGGCGGTTGGCTTTGCGACTGTGAGTTCTCCTGCAATTGCTGCTCACGGAGCTGCTGTGCTGCGCCAAAATGTCGGGACTGGTGGTGTGAAGATTTGAAAGAAGAAGGCCGCGAGATCCATGCTGCATGGCCGATGAAGAAAGCGTTCGCACCGAGGAAGGAGTGGAAAGCCGGCGATGACTATGAATGTGTCAAGACATATCGACATTGCTGCAACATCGCTCAATACATACAGCCAGCTTATGGTGAAGAGCCATGATGCGCAAGAGTTTCCGAAAGCGTTGGGTTAGCAGTGTTTATCGGCAGAGTCGGCCATGTTTGAATAAATTGGGATGTGGTTTTGGTCAATTCATCGTTGCTCAGTCGAATAGAAGCGTGAGGGAGGAAGTTGGGTCGGCAGTGACTTGCGCTTGCGCTTGCGACTCGCTCTCGCAGCTTCCGCCCAGGACGGGACGGACCCCGAAACGCCAAGACTCTGAGAACCCAGAAGTATGAAGTCAGCTTCCGGGTTCCTGGCGGGAGCTAGCCGCACTCGGCCTGGGAATAAACATGGACGGACAGCGCGACAACACAGCGCGAACAGCTCGACACCCTGAAGCACATTAATGACCATACCAACAGCACAGCGACGGCGACGGCGACACCATGAGCTCGCCGGCGAAAGACATGAATTCTTTCGCCGCGCGCTTGGCCACTTTCGAGCAGCCGCATCACCTCACCACATCAAGCAACTCGAACAAGCGGAAAGGCGGGAACGGGAACACAGTCGAATGGCCACATGAGCGGCCATCAAGGGATGCAGTATGTCAGAAGCCAGCATCAGAGTGTATATGTCTACTGACAGCGTCTTCAGCTTGCACGCGCCGGCTTCTTCTACCGCCCGGCACACGACTCCAACGATAATGTCCAGTGTTTCTTGTGCGCGGTTAAGCTGGATGGCTGGGAGGAGTCAGACGATCCAATTTCAGAACACTTGGCGCATTCGAAAGGCTGCGCGTGGGCGACCGCGCTGAGCGTGACACCAGAGGACGAAACGCCCGAGCATCGCGATCCTCTGTGTGAAGAATTATACGATGCGCGAAAAGCGACCTTCAACATTGGAGACGGCTGGCCTCATGAGAACAAAAAAGGCTGGAAATGTAAAATCACGAAAATGGTCGAAGCAGGCTGGTGTTTTGATCCGAGCGTAGAGGGCGAAGAGCCGGATGGAGTTACTTGCTTCTACTGCGCTCTGAGCTTGGACGGCTGGGAGCCCAAAGATGACCCATTCGTGGAGCACCAGAGGAGGGAGCCCGACTGCACATACTTTCAGCTGCTTAAGCAATATCACGGAGCTGCAGTGCCGCCAAAGAAGGGCAAAGCACGCGGTAAAGCTAGGGGTAGTACCGCTAGCCAAACTAGCAGAATGAGCACTCAGAGCGCCGTCACCACCACGAGCGATGCACCAAGCCAGGTCGAGAGCTTGGGCGACATTCCCATGGACAGCAGCGTGCCTCGAATTGACGATAGCATTGTCACTGCAGGAACTACGAGCTCGACCGCAACCGCGACGAAAGGCAAGAAGAAAGGCGGCAGGATGAAGGTTGCTGCAAAAGGAACGAAGGGAAAGAAGAAGACTTCAGAGGAGGAAGATGTCGAGATGTTGGAGCAGTATCCTGCTGCATTGCTGTCAAGTCAACTCCTGGCAGAGCATGAGCCTGCACCTCCTGTTTCAGCCAACTCTACTAGGAGAGGCGGGCGTGGATCGAAGCAGCAGCAAGCAGATTCCTCTGTCATCGAGATCAGCGCAATCGAAAGCGGTCCCCCAAAGAAGGTCACCCGCGGACGTAAAGCTAAAGCACAGCCAAAATCCGAGCCGGAGCCAGAGATGGAGCCAGAAATCCCGCCTGTTCCACAGACGCCACACGCAGATGCCATTGAGCAGAAACGACTCAGCGAAGTATCAGCACAGCTCCGGGGAGAGCTCGATCACTCGGTCGATAACTTCGATGGAGAGCTAGATCAGTCGACACCATTGGCAGAACCACCGAAGCGAGGGGTGAAGCGAACATCGGATGGTCTGAGGAAACAGCAAGAATCGAGCTTGGTTGAGATTGTGTCTCCGCCGCCACAAGCGAAGCCGGCTACGAAAGGCAAACGAGGCAAGAAACCCCAGCAGACCTCGAGCGCGTCTACCGACATCGAGCAGGAGCTTGTAGCAGAAGTTGACTTTGCTTTCGCTCCGGACCGTCGCATTGAGCTTGAGCTGCCGGAGAGTCAAGGAGCTGAGGCAGATGATGAGCAGTCGCAGCCTACTAAAGCCAAGCCTGGCCCAAAGAAGGCAAAGGGCAAAGCGAAGGGAAAGAAGAACTCGTCGGCGAGATCCTCAAAGGCGCTGGCCACAACATCAGAACCGGAGCCAGCGTCAGCTGTAGAAGAAGCCGAGGATCTCGCCAGGGACGAGATGGAGATCGAGCAGGAGCTCGCACGAATTGCCTCAGAACAGCAGTCCTCCGAGGAGGCACCACCCATCCAAGCCGAGCAAGACCTTGTTGAAGAGTACGAGACTTCTCCGTCGCAAGGCCGAGTCAGCAAGGATAGTGCAGAATTGCAGCAGCTTCAACAGGAGGTTGACACCGAGCAGGCACCCGCGGAAGAAGACAAGGCCTCAACACCAGCTCGCAAATCACAAATGCCGGGAGGCTTCACACCCAGCCCTGGCGGAAGCGACAAAGAGAATCAACGTTCGTCCATCGTGCAGCCTCAGACGGTACAGAAGTCACCAGGCGTCATCCTCGGCCCAACCAAAACCACTACAATCCCACTGCCAGCTTCGACTCCAAACCGCTCACCTGCCAAATCTACGCTTTCGCCATCAAAACAGATGGGAGGTCTCAAGTCAGCAGCGCCTTGGACGGCCGTGGATCTCGACTCGGTTCTCTTGCCTAGCCCACAAGCTTCAGCCGGCCGAGTGGGAGAGCAACTCGCCGCTGCAGCGGGTACCTTGACCAGTCCCGAGAAGAAGATGAGTGTGGAAGAATGGGTGCGGCATCGCGCAGCCCAAAGCGAAGAAGAATTACGACGCAAATGCGAAACATTGCTGGAAGCTTTTGAGAATCAGGGTATGAGAGGTGTTCAAAGCTTGGAGGGGATTGAAGTTGTGAGATGAAGCTGCGCTAGCGCTCCCAGTGTGAATGATGTTAACGACTATCGTAAGGCTTTTTTGGCGTTTATGAGATACCTAGGAAGGGAAGTGGCGTTTATGAGATACCTCGGAAGGGAAGGAAATGTTGCATGATTGGGCTGGATACATACATACATACATACCTACATTGTGTCTTTGGCTCTATGATTATGCGCGAAAAAAAAGAGGAAAAACCGCTCTATGATTTTATGATTCGCTCTGAATGGGTATCTCAATGAGTCGCTTCGAATTCATGATTTAACGCTTCCGCCGGTCCATCATTTATTTGTTCGTGCGTTTACTGTCCAATTCCACTTTGCTATACCATACCGCACCCGCAATCGTAATGAACATGCCCACTGCGTTCAAAAGCCCAACTTCCACATGAAACAAGATGATGCCGAGGAAAATGGTCAAAGCCTGCTTGACGTTTCCGCACACGGTAATGGTAAGCGCGCCGGCCATTTTGTTGGCTTGGAAGCCTACGACGTTGAGAAGGAATGCTGCGATTGCGTTTAGGAACAATGCTGCGCCGAATGTGGAAGAGAATTGGGTTGCGGTGTATGCGTGTCGGAACGTGTCGGCTTCTCCGGTGAGGTAGGCGTAGATGAGGCATTGTATGGCTGCGAGTGGTGACATGCGGAGGAGGACTTCCAGAGCGGAGAGTTTGAGGCTGCCGGTCATGAGGCGGTTTGTTGCCACTGTTTTGACGGAGGCCAGGACGACTCCGAGGAAGGTCACGAGGAAGCCGGCGAGAGTGGCGTAGTAGTCTCCAACAGTCGATCTAGGGGGGAAAAAGGAGTCAGCGTGAGTGGAATGGAATCAAAGAAGGCTGGACTTGTGACGTACAGCGCGACACCCAAAACCAGCGGAATCATCGTCAAATACGTCGTCCTGGAATACTCCCGGCCATACACGAGCTTGTAAATCAAAATCGTCACAAGCGGACAAGTCGAGCGCATGATCTGATGAAACGGGACCGAAACCATGGCCAAGCTCACATTGGAAACGGCGATATTGACGGTGAATAAGAAGGAGAATGCGAACAGCGCCAGGTTCTCTCGTAGGCCGAGAGGCGTCACGGTCAGAAGCCCCAGGCCAAGCATTGCGAAACATCCTATCGAGGTCGCCGAGCAGTGGACGGCGGTTAGCAGCCAGGGTAATCTGGCGGTGCCGAGGAGGGATTTGTTGGAGAGAGTGAGGAAGAGGTTGAGGAAGAAGTAGGCGGCCAGGAAGAGGAGTTTTGCTCGCGTCGAGACATGCTTCTCTGCGGCGTCGCTCTTTGGGGGGGCGGATTGCGATTCGATGTCGGAGGTGGATCGTCGTAGGATGGGCTCTGAAGGGCGTGACTCTGCGCTGGATCGATGTGATAGTAATGCGGCTTGTGCGTTGCTGCAGTCTTCTTCCAAGGGAATCTTCTCTTCGTCTTCGAGCGCGTGATCATGTGCCATGATGGTGATGCTTGCTTGTCGGAGATGAAGATGTCGGCTGGAAAGGCGATGTGGGAAGGAACGACCACGCCGGCGACTAAGTCAGAAATCGAACAGAGACAGACCTTCTTCGGCCGCAGCGCCAGCGCAGACATCGGACGTACAGTCGCCAGTCGCCAGTCGCCAGTCGCTTCCACAACGTCCTGCTGGAGACCCGAAATATCCGCGTCCGTCACGGCAGGTGCTTGGCGGGATGACGACATGAGGAATGTGCCACCGTGGCTGATTGCGTATGCCCTCACATTCTCCAATGCGGCTTCTTCCAACGCGCTTGATGATCCATCTTTTCACCACCGAAGAAGCTCCAGCTCAGCTCAGAGTCATGTGAAGACCTGCATGTGCGTCCGGGAGCATGTTGCGTCTTGGCAACGTGATACCCCTGCCCTGGCGCTTGGCGAGTCTCGGACTACCACTAATAGCCCCCCCCCCCCCTGAAACATGGCGACGCTGCCTGAGAACACCATCGGATGCAGCACGTGCGATGGAGAGGCTCGCACGGTCCCGGTAATAGATACGGCGAGAACATGATCATGGCGAGAAGACGCGGAGACGAGACGAGACGAGCACCCAATCGCTAAAACGTATCTCTCGTTAAAAAGGAAAAAAAACGTCGACAATCGTGCTACCATACAAGACCGAAGTTTCCCTCCCCTCCGTCCCAGATTGATGGTGAATCTCTTCTCATATGATAATGTAACCAAGCCCCCCTTCGGCTCGACTTCTTCTTCCACCTATCCCTGGTCGGCCTTCCGCTTGTGACCAGTGATCACATTCGGTGCCGACGCCAACTGCTGGTCCCGCATACTGAGATTGAGCAGCCACTGTGCTGCTCGAGCATCGGCGGCATCGAACTTGGCAGACTTGGTGGTGGTGGCGGCGGCGGCGCCGGAGTTGTCGGTCTTCTGCCTCTTCGATATGCATGCACCTGGGGAAGCAGAGTCTGGCTTGCCGTGTCTTCGACGTGTGCTGCTCTTCCTCGATCTAGACGACACGTCGATGTCGCCTTCATCGCTCTCGCTGCTTGACGTAGACGATGATGCGTTGTTGCCACCAACTCTTGGAGCTTCTGGCGGAGGGAGAGTGCTGCGGCGGCGCTTGGAAGCTCGAATCCCGTCCTGCGCAGTGTGCTCGGCTTCAGTGTAGTGAGGCCTCTGCACCATAGACTCTGCCGCACGCCATGACATGGCTGGCGAGTATCTTGGCTCCGTCAGCAGCAACGAGTTGGCCAGCGCTGTGACTGATGGGGCTTGAACTGCCGATGGCGCATTGCGGTTGACGCTCGTCCAGCGTGGCTGCTCATTGGGACTCGACTTGGGTGACAAGGCAGGAGATCTGAGTGGTGACGATGCATATGTGTAGTTGCCGTAGGCTGGACTTTCGGAGCCGGAGTCGAATGGCGAGCCTGACTTGAAGTTTAAGTGGTCGTTCCGTGGCCTCCTCGCCTGGTAGCCTGGAGGAGCTTCTGGTTCACTTCTCGGAATGTTTCTGACACCATAAGAGCCTGACGGTGCTTCGCTGCGGCTGGCGCTGTCAGGCTTCCAGCCTTCCGCCTCCAAGGCCGCGCATCGAACCACCTCCGGGTCGATCTTGAAGCGAGCGAAGCCTGGGTGATCTGGCCGTAAGCACTCCTTGATGAAGGACGGGCCGAAGATAGGTGTGAGGGCCCAGCGGATGTCGTAACAGAAGGTGAGGCAGACCGCACGAGCACACGCATATGGCATCCAGTATCCCTGAGCCGCGAGGGCACCGCCTGTGATCGAGTGGGACAGTTCTTTGAGGCCGGGGTTTGTTGTAAGAGCTTTTGCAGGCGTCGTCTGCCGCATGTGTCAGTCTTCTCTGCTGCCTGTTCCTCAAACCATCATCCTGCTGCTCACCTTGGAATACTTGCACGCCTTGAAGAAAGGCGTGATGCGCACAAGGCCGACCTGGTAGTCCCACATGACTGGGTAGTCCTTGTCAGGCTCGGTGGGCAGCGCGAATGTGTACGTGAACACTAAACGAGCACGTTAGTCGACGAACAAGCAACGACGGGAGATGGCCGCCTGGATAGACTGACCGTCGAAGGCATCTCTTCCGGTCTTGTTGAGAAAGTCCTTCTTCTCACTCGAGTAAGGTATGTGCCGCACATAGTTTGTGATTTTCTCATCGGAGCTTCCATCAGGCCAGACTTTGAAGTTCCGATGCTGCTCGGCCAAGTCTTGACGTTGCTGGTAGTTCAAGCACAGACTCTCTTCGGTGCACTCGTATGGCGGATAGTTGACTGGTCCTTTCGGTGAGCCTCGAATGAAGACCGCCGCATCTTTGACAAGCTTCTGTCGCTTCGAAGCCAAGGGTGTCGCCGGTGTCACTGGACGTGATGTCGGAGCAGGTGACGAGCCATGAGTGGTGTATGCTGGTGTCGGTGGCGTCGCAGCTCCGTGGTGGTGAGAATGCCATCTGCTGTTGTCCGATGAAGGGTGGTTGAGCAACGCGTTTATCTTCAGCATGGTGGCAGCCGAGGGATGAGGTCTGTAATCGTGTGTGACGTTGCGAGGACGGTGCTGTTGAGCGTCAGGCGAAGGTGAAGGCAAGTGAGGAAAAGAAGATGGCATGGTGTAACTGGCGGTGGGTGGCTGGAAGATAACTGGCAAGATGTGACGAACGAACGGCGATGATAGTAGCGGTGAAGGGCAATTCCCAGAAGGACGAGGTCGAATGCCGACTTATAGTGCAGAAACAAGTGAGCCAGCTTCACTCCCAAGTACAAGATCCTTGACCACACTAGCATCGACTTCTCCAGCCAAAGAGATCGTGCCGGAGACCCGCTAAGTGTCTCAGTCAAAGAACTCGTTGATGCTCGATGGCCAGACTTTACTGCATGGGCGACGATGGCCAGCTTGTAGTCACGGATAGCGAACATGGGAGCCTTGCAATGGACTTATTTGTGCAGACCCAGGCCATTCAGAGAGGAAAGATGAGTTTGCGGTGTGGGACAAAGCAGAGGTCTCAGACCACCACCAAGCGCTATGCGAGAAGATCATGCAGAGCTGCGTTTGTGCAGATGGCTGGGCAACTACATTGTGCCGATGCCGTGAGAAGGCTCGCCGAAATCGACATCGGCTTTGATACCACCATGGTTGGATGCTGGCGTACTCCAGCCTCTTCCAGTGTGATGGGAGATATGTTTGGCGTATAGATGAAGCAAACGATTGTCGTCACGAGGGGTGATGGGTGTGCTCGAGCCCACTGCCATATATTCTTCGACGGACAAGGTCAAAGCGTATCGATACAGCCATGGAAGGCTGCGGGGCTGCTTCTGCCACGAGTGAGTCTGAGAATAGTAATGATGGACGCTATTGTCTTAAGGCGGACTGTGGTGGATCGATCACGAGTCAGGTTGTGCAAGCCTTGCTGAGGAAGTGAGTCTACCAGCTACTCGGGCCTTCGACTTGCGTTCGGAGACGAGCGCGATGTAACGAGAGGTACTGACCGCACGCGTTCGTGCGGTATGGTTGCATCACAGGTTCGGCTCGGACGCCGATAGACCAGCTAGCTCTGCCATGCCACGTTAGATAGGTCGTCCATCGACTTGCAGCACCACCTTCAACCTCAGTGTCGATCGGATACTGACAGTTAAGTGGGTCAACGCTCTGGGCTCAGCGGCGGCGATATTGAAGCGCAGTAGGAGCCCAATCGACGTCTCCATGACAATGGCGGCAAGGGCAGTTCGACGATGATTGCTAGAGACCCTCGCGATTGCTCCAAGGACTCGATGACACGATCGATGTAACATTGTGTGAGCGAGCTGAGTGTGTTGTTTGACCTCATTTCCGCTCCCGTCACTTCGTCTCCAACAGCTCGATCAACTCGCCTTAGCTTTCTCTTGGCTTGCAAGGTATGAGGGGCCTGCTGAGTCGACTGTGGTAGAGTGTTCCAGAGTGAACTTGCCTCACGCACTTGCTTTAGTAGCCTGCATTGATCCAGTCAGATTCTTCTTCGAACGCTCACCGTCGCCCGTCTGTGTGGCACCCTCGGCATGCGGGTCCATGATCCCAGCGTGAACGGCTGTCACCCGTCGGAAGGCCGACGCAGTGTAACAGAACTGCCAACGCTATATTCCGGTTGCTCCACGTAAGCCACCTGGTTTCTGTCACGTCCGTGGTTCGTGCAAGGCTTGACCATGATCAGAACGAAGCAGCATGTCGTCGGTTTCGGCGCCTTGAGCACAATCGCTGAATTAACATTATCATACTGATATACCTCTACTTGCCTTTAGCTTTTTATAATTTAGCTTCCGGTGCTTTTTGATGCCGCGCCAGTTCTGTGCTGAGACAGCCTACTGTCGTCGCTTGCTGACCAATTGAGAAAGTGGCTTCTTGATGAATTCCACAGCCTTGCCAAGACCTCCAAAGAGCGTACCCATGCCAAAACTCCAGCCCTTGACACGGACACTCCAGATGAAGAAGAAGACGCTATAGAATCGTTAGAAAATGCCAAAAAAAAATTTGTTCCAGCCTGCTTGTGGACTTACAGGAACCAATTCGTGAAGACGAAGACCAGGAAAATTCCAAAGTCTCGCCACTTCTCAGATGCCTGGATGTTCAAGGTTGCCAAGTACTGATTTCCGACGCTGTACGGGCACATCATGCAATTTGTGCTGTCATCAGGATTCAGCAGATAGCCTCCACTGCTCGTAGCAAAATCGCCAGCGTAGCTCTGGCACGTTTGATCCGGAGGCACATTGAAGTGAGCAGTTTCGCTCTCTGCGCACCGGACCGGAACGTTGTTGAGGGTCGCTGCGAGCACTCCTCCGATCCAATAGGTCGACGGATTGACGTAATACATCCAATACCTCCAGAATACCGGGAGCATGGAATACGGTCGAACGACTCCGTTGAAGAGGGAGAACATGACGAAGAAGAATGGCAAAACGTTGGAGATGACCGTGAAGGACGGTGCGAAAGCACAGATCCACTGACCCCAGCTTGCTTGGAACAAGAAGAAAAGCATGGTCATCAGGAAGACATAGCCTGCGACGGAGCTCTCCGTTGGCAGTCCACTTGGCCAGTACCAGAGCACCCAGTATACAACAGCACCAATGATTGCTGGCGGGATCTCAGCGACGGTCTGTGCGAAGCAGAAAGCCTGCCATCCGTAGATACGAGACGGGTATTCGCGAGCTTGCCAGAGTGCCATGTTGGTGAAAAATTTCGGCACGACGGTATTAACAACAGTCGGAGGTATGGTCAGGATGATGAAGCTCGTAAACATGCGGTTCTGCATGTCCTGGATGGTGTAGCCGAGCTGCCAGAACGTGAAGCCATTGAAGATGCCGACGACGACCGAGACGAAGAGTTTGCCGTAGATGTAGCTTGGATCGCGCCAGTATTGTTTGAAGGTCCTCTGGAGCAGCTCAGTGCATTGAAGCCACACAGAGGCCGCAAATTCTGTCTCCTGTTCCTTGCGCTTTGCCTCTGGCTGTGTCTTGCTTCGCGTCAATTTCAAGCCTTCAATCTCCTGCACCACATCCTTGGCTTGTTGAGATTTCCGCCACTCCTCGTTCCAGTTGATGCGCTTGCCCTCGGAATTCTTGTGAGGCTTAGCGGCAGTCTCCAGAATGAATTCGGCGACGTTCTTGTCAGCTGGGCAGTCGACACCGCGGTCACTGAAGTACTGGATGACAGCCTTACCATTCTCTCCGACAGGCCCGAAGTAAAAAGTATTGCCGCCGGGGTTCAAGGCAAGAATCATGTCGAACTGCTGAATGAGCACGCTGGAAGGCTGGTGGATGGTGCAGACAATGGCCTGGCCAGCATCGGCGAGCTTCTTCAGGAAGCGCACGATAGAGTATGCGCTCTGCGAGTCGAGGCCCGATGTTGGCTCATCCAAGAACAACAATAGCGAGGGTTTGGCAGCGAGCTCAACGCCGATGGTCAATCTCTTACGTTGTTCAACTCCCAAGCTCATGATCACTGCATCTTGCAGATCATTGAGCTCAAGAAGATCAATGATGCGGTCCACGTATTCCAGCTTCTCTTTGCGAGGGGTGCTTGCGTCTTGTCGGAGGATGGCCGAGAACTCGAGCGCCTCGCGAATTGTCGCAGTTCCGTCGTGGATATCACTTTGGAGACAAAATCCAGTGTTCCGCTGGAACTCAGGGCCCAGAGGTCGACCATCGACGAACATCTCGCCTTTGACGACACCCATAGTTTGACGTTGCGCCAATGTATTGAGAAGGGTGGTCTTGCCTGCACCAGACGCACCCATCAACGCCACCATGACTCCAGGCTTTGCGTATCCATCAACATGGTTCAGAAGCTTGCGCTCGCCGCCGAGATATGGGACCGTGTATTCGACATCTCGCCAAGTAAAGATGCTATCGCTCTTCGACAGCTGATCCAAGGCCTCGTTCTCCTTCTCTTCATCTCCAGAATCCCCCATACCAGTCTCCTTCTGGGTGGAACTGCCCGAGTCCTCGGCGATTCCTGCTTTCTCTTCATCAGCAGGCGATGCTTCCTTTACAACCTGCTTGGCACGCTTTGTCTTCTTGAACACAATCGCTCCACCGCCACTTGCCGAGAAGTCGAAAAGCTCAGTGGCCAAAGCAGTGACGAGGATGTAGAGCGCCGTGAAGGCAATGACAACGCCAAAGTTACGCCACAGATTACTTCTCGAATAGTTGTATTGAGTCTGCAGGTAAGTAGCGCCAGATACCGATGTAGCGCCGACCTGTGCACCTGCAATGGCACATCCTTGATAAGCTGGGTCGATTCCAGGTCCTTGTGGAACGAGCTGCTCTGGGGCGCATTCCATAGTACGTCCAGCGAATTCGTTGGTAAGGACTCCCTCGAAGGAGTAAGCGAGAGGGTTAATCCAATAAATCCAGCCAAACCAGATGTATTTAGACAGGAGCTGGGTCTTTGGAATCACGTAGCCAGTGTAGATGATCAACAGATTCAGTCCGATGCCAGAAAAGCGAACGGCAGTGTCTATCTCTGGTGAAAGCGAGGCGAACATGCGGTAGAGAGCGGTAAGAAGTATCGTGGTGAGGTAGACAAACAGCAGGTAGATGAAGAACCTGCCGGCTGTCACCGTGAGATTTGTCATGAAGTACATGATAATGCCGAATATGAAGACCTGAGCCAGAATTACCGGGAAGTCTGCCACCACACGCGCAATGCCGACAGCACTGGGGCGGTAAAAAGCGTAGTCTTTGTGGCGAGCCACCACAGCTCTGCCACTGATTGCCTTCATCAGCTCGGTCAGCTGAAGCCAACCTAGGAACAGGATCGAGAAAAAGAGAGCACCGCCGCGAGAGAATGCACCCTCGGTATTCGATGGCTGACCATAGAAGAGAGAACCAACGATCAGTCCGTTTGAGATGATGATAAATATCTTGGTCCAGAGAGTCGTTGTGTCTCCGAAGAGAAGCCAGAATTCGCGCTTGGTACAGGCCAAAACCTGTCTTGGAAAGGAGACCGTGTAGGGTGACTTCTTCGGCACACGCTTGGATTTGCCTTCCTGCACGGCCCTTTCGAAGCGTTGTGCATCTCGATAGTTTGATTCCTCCAAGTACTTTTCATACTCGGACACATCTTCGAGCACCTTCTGATAGGCGTCTGACTCCTTGAAGGCCCGTTCCAGGTCTGCAGAGGTCTTGGGTGCCTTATCCTCGAAACCAGGACGGAAGCGACGTTCGACCGGATCAGTAACGGCTGTCAAGAAGTCTGCCGTTGTTTGTCTCTCTGGACATTGGAAGCCGAGATCGACGAAATATTGCTTGGCCTCATTCGCCGGGCCCATGTAGATCTGTCGACCTTGATCAATCACCAGCACTTTATCCATCGTTTCGTATATGCCTTCACCGGCCTGGTAAAGGGTGACCAGTGTGGTGCGGTTGCTGACGTCCGTCATGATTCGAAGTGATCGGGCATAGTCCAAAGCTGTCGAGGCATCAAGACCACGGGTAGAGTTATCCCAGGCAATGACAGTGCTCTTACTGGCCAGGGTTTCGGCGATGGAGACACGCTTGCGTTCACCACCCGAGACACCACGAGTGTACTCGTCTCCAACGAGAGTGTACTTGGTGTGAGAAATTCCAAACATTTTGAGCAGCGCGTTGGCGATGATGGGAATCTCCTCTCTGGCCTTTTTCTTGGTCTTGTTCATCAAAGCGAAGGTGAACGTTTGCCACACGTTCAACGAAGCAAAATGCACATCGTCCTCCTGATTGTAGTTCACCTCGCCGCGATACATCTTCTTTTGCTTGTCTGCTGTGATGCCACCGTACGAGACTTCTCCGGTGACTTCGGCAAAGGAATCGCGATTGTTGGAGACCACTTTGAGAAATGTACTGCATCCAGCTCCTGGACGTCCGAGCACCAGAAGCATTTCTCCGTCACGTACACATCCGGTGAAGTTGCTAAGCAGTGTCCGTGTCTCGGCAGATCGTCTTCTGAGCGCTGGAACGAATCGACATATGACGCCCCAGAGATCTGGGCCGAAAGTGCCAATGATGGCGTCTGGCAAAGTCTTGACAAATGACGTTGTCGAGCCGGTACCTTTGACAGTTAAGTGCTTGAAAATGACGCCGACTTTCTTCAGAGGCTCGCCATCGCCACGTCTCTCGAACTTGCCCTCTCTCATGAATTGCTCGAGTTCGAACTCTTCTTCTTCTTCGTCTTCTTCATGTTCATCGGAAGGGCCTGCCTCAAGATGCTCTGGCTCAGTGATCTGAGTAGACACTCGCCTCTCACTTGCGGCTCCGGCATCAGAAACAGTAGATGCAGTTTCGGTACGTCGGCTATCAGGTCGGTTCATTCTCCGACTTCGTTGGCTATTGTGAGTGGTTGTTGGGCGAAGCGAATGCTGTGTATCTCTAGACCGGGCTCGTTCGAGAGTAGTGAGGTCCTTTCTAAGGTTGTCGTAATCGAGCCTGGCTTGGTCTGGATGGAAGCCTCCAACATCAGTCTCTCCCCATGTTCCTGAGTGGCCGCGAGATTGAGAGCTCTCTTCAAGCTCCTCTGTTGGATGCAGAGGTGGATGCATTCGGTCTGCATGTGGCTGGCCATGGCCGACTGTGTGCCTGGTCCAAGTCAGAATGCACGATGCTCGACTCATTGCCGTAGTGTGCAGGATGGAATTCGAAAGTCGGGCTGGGGAGATGTGAGCATATGTTGCGAGGACTTACCATTGGTTCGCCGGGGCATTCGAATCAGATCTGGCAAGGCGGCGCTCGTCGACAGAGGATCCCCACATGTTGGCCACCACGAGGCAGAAGTAGACGTAGCTTCCGGGCCTGCAGGAGCTCGTTGTCGTTGCCCAATGTGGCGGATGTAGGTGTAGAAGAGGGATGGTCAGTAGTTGCGATGCGACTGAGACGTACAGCGAGGGTGGAAAAAGAAATCAGGCAATCCAAGGAAGCTTGGACGAGGCGAGGCGGCATCACGATTCGGCCCCATCAGCCATCAGGGAGCTCGAAGAGTGTCGCGTTGAGTGCTGTGGCTTTGTAATGCGAGCAGAGAGATTCAACGTCATTGCATGGCGGGCGTGTGCTAGCAGAATAAGGTCCGGAGTTTGGCGATGTTTAAAACCTAAAGTCGCCCGGAATCTCCATGGGTCTTGCGAGCGCCTTCCTACAGAGTGGTCAGTGGTCATTCCTGACAATTTTCTTCTTATCTCCTTTGCGGGTATGCACGTCTTGCCTCCGCCTCCGACCACCGACAGACCACCCCTTCCTCGCTTTCGCACCACCCTTGCCGTGCTTCTTGCACCTCCCTGTCACCGCCTTCTTCACATATCAGCCCAAATCACTATGATTGATGATGACGAATTAAGAATACCTTGATGCATGAGCTGCATGAGCCTCCTGGTGTGGAGTTCACAAAAGTCACCACTTCTCAACGCTGAACAACTACTGCACGATCACAAAATTCTTATGACTCAGCTTGTGCGAACGATAGATCACCGGCCAGGCACGACAAACCCTGCATTCCGACATCGAGACGCATGCCGGAATTCGCTTAACAAGAAACGAGAACCGGGATGATGGTTCAAAGATTTTCAGCATGGCTTGGCAAGCTTGGAAATCCTCACGGACGAAGCCCAACTCGTCCGCGTACCTTGTACCATTTAACCACCTGCAGAGTCAGCAAAGCCCACGTGCGCCGCTGCAATGTTCTTCTGCCTGGCTGAGAACGAAATCCAGTGGTCGGCATACCACCTCGCGTCTTCTCCGATATCGCTGCAGTGCTACAATACACCGCTCCCATCAGTTCAGAGGCTTGGGCATGTCTGATGAGTCTCCTCGCAGCAGCCCCAGAGCGATATTGACTGCGTACACACCGCTGGTCTCCTGAGTCTCCTCAGTGGAAGCTCCAATGTGCGGCGTCATCACCACGCGCGGATGCGAAAGCAGTGTCTCCCCATAATGCCTCCATGTCGGAGGCTCATGGAGCATCGCATCCAAGCCTGCGCCAAACAGCTTGCCCGAGTTCAAAGCATCCAGCAATGCCGATTCATCAACAATTCCACCCCTGGCGCAATTCAGAAGAATCGCTCCACGCTTCACCTTCGCCAAAGCGGAGGCCGAGATCAAATTCTCCGTCGACGAGGTTAACGGGACGTGCAAAGTGATCACATCCGATGACTCCAAGACTTCATCCAGCTGCGACACGCGCTGGAAAGAGGCTGCGGGCATATCGTTCGACCACGCGCCTTCCTCGGCGTAGGGATCGAACGCAACCACCGAACCACCCGTACAGCCAATCCACTTCCTGGCCACCTCGACACCAATGTTGCCCATTCCAACGATTCCAATGGTCTTCTTGAACAAACTCTTGCCTAAAGTAAGGCTACGCACCACTTCCTCGCCGCTTCGAATTTTCCGATCCACCTCCGCAACCCTTCGAGCAATACAGAATGCGAGACTTAATGTAAGCTCCGCCACAGCCTCGCTATTCAACCCGGGAGTATTGTACACCTTGATTCCCTTGGCTGTGCAATCCTCCAGCGAGATGTTGTCCACACCAACGCCTTGTTTGACGATGTACTTGAGCTGCGGCCCAGCTTTCTCTACACTCGCCGCATCGATTCTTGTCTCGCTTCGTACTAACACTGCAGTTGCGTCTCTGGGCCATTCGCTCTTCGCCGGGTCGTTGGGAAGAACCAGTCTAATGTCTTGGTGCCTCTTCAATTCGGCAAGAGCGCTTGAATGATAGGGATCTATCACGTAGACTGCCGGTGGCTCCTGAATGCTTTCCATAATTTCCTGATCGCTGTGATGAGTGCTTGAGAGTCGGGAGTTTTTCTTGCTGCAGCTGAATATCAGACGCTGGCAACAGAAACAGAAAGGCGAATACATATATCAACCAGGAGGTAATCCTTCATGCCGGCATCGCAGCTCCTCGGAATTTCTCGGTGGCGCAGAGCCGATGGGTGAGGCACTTTTCTCATGGCGTTTGAGACTGCAATCCTACTGATGATGGACAAAAAGATAAGCATATCGCTTCCGTGGATGGAAATGTTGCTAATCAGACGCTTGAAACTTTCCAGGACTTGAGGTTTACATACCACAGCTAGGTACCTCCAGATACCGCACAGTGCGTTTGGACCAAAGTTTGAAAGCTTCAGTCTGTGACAATGTTAGAACATGAACAGGAGGCAATTTTAAGATGACGCGACATCAGCATCAATAGTGACCGAGCAGTGGGCATGCATTCAGGTTTGAGTCTGTGACGATCAGATCGAGGACGAATTTTTGTGATGCCAAGCCAAAAGTCTCACAGACCAGCTTCTTCTCTCTTCTCCCTGCACGAATTCGGTCATCGAAGCGAAGTCGTGACTTGCAGAGTGTCATACCAAGCCAATTCCTTGTTGAGTGTTGAGTTGAGTCCCTGCCTCGGCGTCGTTCTCACATATCCTGGACAGTCACTCCATGCCTTTCGGTTTACCTGCAAAGGCAGGTTTTGCTATCAATACTGGCCAAGTCGATGTGTGTTGTGAGCATACAAAACGCAGTCCTTGAGGCGAAGCATTATCGGACCTGAACCAGCTTGGCGACTGGATTCGGAAGCTATTGTGTTTTGGATCGCATTCACTCTGCGGAACCTGGCATGATACTAGCAAGCAGGTACATGTATTGTGAGCAATGCTATTCCGCCGCGTACATGACTGCTGCCATGCTTCATGTAATTTTCAGGTATTTCGCGAAAGTGGTGGTAGAGATTGTGCTACGACAAACGTGGTCAAGGACGTGGCCAGGAGAGGTGCATCTCAATCCATGCTGTCTCAAGCGGCATCACGAAAGATGACGTGCTACACAAGTTGTGTCGGCTTTGGCTAGCATGCGCAATGGTACAGTACAAACACCACCAGCAGACGCAAGAATGGTCGACCTGAGCACCTTGCTAAGCACTTCTGTATGTGTTTCGCCCGCATCGGGGCCCACGGAAATAGATAGTGTTGGTTGCCGTAGATCTCTGCACGTAGTGTCGTGCTGCAAGCGGTGTGAGTAAACGCCAAACTCTAAACGATTGCGGTGGCCGAGTGTTCCAGTCGTGACAGTACCAGGCTCGGAAAGACAGGCTGATGTGAGACGACCTTCTGTTAATGTCAAAGACCGAAGAGGAGATCCTCGTGCGGCCAGAGATGTGTCGGATTGGGGGTCTACATCGCGATTCGCTGCTGAACTTCAGGCTTCAACCATGGAGCATCGAGATGGCGAATGCGTCGAGACGTTTGGTTAGTTATGGTTATCGAATAGTTCGAGTGCCTGTTTTTGCATAGGCCAGGAAATGGAGCCCATGGTTCTGATCATGCATGCGAGCAGCGTTGTCGTCCATGATCATGCAGTGATCGTCACGGCACTGTTTGCGTGATACAGTAGTATGTACCTCGAAGATGCTGGATGGATGGCAAAACGACTTGATGTAAACTGTGATGTATTCAGAAGAGGGCTAATCTACAGAAAGCCCAAAGATGAAGTGTGCACAGTTGCAGCCTCAGGCATCATGCACGTGATAGCCTATACACACACTCTTTAAGTCACCCCCTTATCGCGTGCATACAGCCAAACAAACAAACTAGTAAAGCAAACAAAGGGGTATTAGGTATAGAAACAACTAGACTACTTTTAGGCTATTATAACAAAGCAATTAAACAAATACAATGTCTTCTATCTATTTAGTACTTAGTAGCAGGCTAAGCGGCGCTCTTAATAGCAGCCTTATAATCTACTAAGTTTAACTACTAAACAAAGCGACTATACTTAAGCTTATTAAGTAGCTTAGTAAAACTATTAGCGATTTGATCGTATATACTAATCTAAGTAACAACGATAGTGCTATTAGCGATCTTCTCGCGGATGTAGTAGACCCTAGCATCTATATGCTTAGTACGGCTATTAACGCTAGTCGACTAGGTAATAGTAATAGCGGACTAATTGTTCTCGTATAGCGTAATAGGCTTAATAGTGCCCTTATAACTAATCTCTTATAGCAACCGAGCTAAAGCAACGGCTTCCTTAGCGCTAGTTGTTAACTAAACATACTTAGCTTCTATAGACGACAGAGTAACTAAGGTCTAGCGGCCTAACTTGTATAGTAGCGGTCTACTAGCGAGTGTAAAGTAGAAGCCTCCTATAGAGCGACGAGTAACCGGATTATCTACCTAGGAAGCGTTACAATATCTAGCAAAGTTGAGCTTATCGCTCTATATGCCTCGGAAACACAGACTACGGCTTAGAGTGCTAACTAGGTACTTAATAAGCTAGAGAAGTGCGGCATAGTATTCCTTAGTCGGGTTAGAAATGTATCGTAATAATAGGCCTATAGTATAGCAAGTATTAGGTCGGGTAATTATTGCTAGCTATAGTGCTTTACTAACACCTTCCTAATACTAAGTCTTAAAGGCAGCGCTAGCAGTGTAGCCCTTAGGTGCACGCTAAATCGATGTCTTAACGTATCGAGGTGCTATTAGTATAGCCGGTGCTATACGGCCCTATATGCTATACTTCTTACTAAGTCGGTTTAGATAGGCGTCCTGCACTATATAGATAGTGCGGTCCTTGCGGTTGCGAATGATACGCATGCCGAGATAATAGTAAAGATTACTAAGTTCCCGCATATTAAAGCGATCCTTTAGCAACTAAGCTACTGCTTAGAGAGCGGCTATTAAATAAGCAATAATAATTATATTATCTACGTAGATAACGATAACTGAGCCACTAATAGTGTGTTTGAACACACACATATCGCTTATAATAGGGATAAAGTTTAGGCTCTTTAGAAACTTCCGGAGCTCTTTATACTATAGCATTAGTAACTGCTTTAGACTATAAAGTGCTTTTAGCAGTAGACACACTATGCCCTTGCCTCTACTACGGTCTTCAAAGCCGTGTAGCTGCTTAACGTAGATCTTATACTTGTTACTAATAAGTGCGTTTAAGAAGGCAGTTAGGATATTATATTGTTAAGCCTCTAGGTTATAGTAAGCAATTATAGCAAACAGGACACGCAGTGTGCTTAGCTTAGCTACTGCAGCATAGGTCTCGTTATAGTCCTGTCCTTTAACTTAAGTGAAGCTACGGACAACCTAACGAGCCTTAAACCGGCTAATATCGCTATTAGCGTCGCGCTTAATAGTAAACACCTATCGGCTACGGACAACCTTGCGACCTTTAGGCACTTCTAGCCGAGAAACGTATACCTACGTATAGTTGTCTATTAACGACTTATACTTAGCCTTATAGGCCTCCTTCTATTGTAGCTAGTGTTGTGATTCCTTAGCAGCCTTAAAGCTCTTTAGAATTAGAATAGTGTCCTTAGGCTTATTAGGCTGTTTAGTAATATAGCAGGAAGCTATAAAGCCCTTTATATAGGCTATCGGCATATTAGCTATTATACGTCGAGTCGACCGCTTAATACTATAATTAGCTAGATAGCTATGTAATAGGTTACGAGCTAACTTGTTGCTACGGGTTGCACGGGTAGAACGAGCGCCTATCGTATTAGGTCGCTCAAACTCTAGCAACTAGCTAGGCTTACCCTTCTTCGCATTTAGATTAAAGGGCGGAGCTTGATCTTCCTTAGCTAATTAGAAGCTATCTTTATTACTCGAAGCTAGTAGTTAAACGTCTAGAAGGTCGTCCTCGATTAGTAACAGATTAGCGACCTTATCGGCCATTTCCTATATAGGTCCTTGTTTAGGCTATTCTTCTTGCTAAGCTAGAAGCCGCTAGACTATACTAGCAGCCTCGGCAGGCGACGGAGCCTCGTTGCTTATAGAATTAAACAAAGCCGGCATAATAGACTTAAGGGTAATAAACTCGTTCTTAGAAGGGTTATTAGGATTAGTATACAGATCTATCCTATTTAGAAGTAGAAGGTTACTATCTAACTTAATAAACTAAACATCCTTAGAAGCGATAACCTTGTATTAATTAGGCAGGTAGATTATATACTTTCTAGAGTCTACAGAGCCCTTAGCATAGCTAACTAGCTTGCTAATAAGACCTCTACTATCTATCTTCTTTCTACGAGCGATACTGTAATCGTATGCAATAGTAGTATAGCTATAGGCTCGAAGGTGCTAAAGGCGTAGCTGCTTTCGAGACTAATTAAGCTCCCTAGCTACAATAGTATAGAGGCTAAGACCTTCTAGGATTCTAGGTATAATATTAAGGACCTATATAGCGGAGGCAACAGTATATAGCTATAGAGACTTTAGAAGGTTAGCCTATAGCATTATCTTTCTCGCAGTCGTATATACGATGTAATTGCTAACCTTAGCAAGGCTATTCTAAGTTGATAAATAAGGTGCAGTAACTTGTAGTACAATGCCCTCGTCTCGAGCCTAATTTAACAGCTAATTTCCGCCGTATTTACTCCCTCCGTCGAGGCGGTAGATTAGGATTAAGTAACTAGTCTATATACGGATATATACACGATAGTCCTTAATAGCTACTGCAGCCCCTAACTTAAGCGTGCTAGTATATTCGTGTCGATAGCCTAACTTAGCGCATATAAACAGCGTAAAATAGCGCTCCTATAACAGACTAGGATTAGTAATAGTAACTACATTAATACAGACAATGTAATAGATCGTAGATAGTCGTACGCGCGGCAGCCGATTGTATTCCTTATATAATATAGCTATGCGATAGGCAATGCAGTTTCGGAAGTTGTTCTTGTCGCTAGTCTTATTATTAGCGATAACAATCTAACCCTTAGCTTCTATTCGTAATAGCTTGCGGTAATAAATATAGCTATATCGTAGATGCTACTCTTCTATCGTACCTATTAGCACCCCCTTCTTT